AGGGGGATTTACGGGGCGGGGTGTGGTGTTGAGTGTTGAGTCTGTTGAGTGTCGTGATAATGGCGATGTTGACGCTGAAGTCGGTGAAGGTGATGGTGATGTCGGCGATGGTGATGTCGAGAGTTGGTAGTGATGTTCACTGACTGATGAAGACACTGAAGAGGTGGATGGAAGGATGGAGTGGGGCAAAGAAGTGCCGTGCTGACGGTTGGCCGTTGGTGCTGCTGCAGCACCTGTGAGCACTGTGCATGCACTTATGCAGGCTGGCGGCAGGCCGGGAAGGTGATGCGACGCAGGCTTGGCAGGCCTAGCCTGAGGTGCCCGCGCAAACAGTCGTCCTGTACCGACCTCGCTCCGATCTCCTTCCGGGCAGTAATACTGTACATACGTACATCCTAACGTTACTACCAACGACGACCGCCCGGCAGTGAAGTGACGTGGTGCAAATCGCGATGCGTCCCATCCCATCATGCACGCACTCGCCACGCTATACCCGTGGAAGTCCACCCGCCGGGCCAGCCAGCCAGCCGACAACTGCGCCCGCGCATGTGCGTGCATGTGCGTGTCGGCATCGCCCGTCAAACCATCGACTCCGTCCCCGAGACAGACCTCAGCGACGAACTTGGCTAGCCAAGGTTAATACTAACTCGACGACTCATCAGCCGATGAGCGCCGCCCGCTTGCTTGGGCGGGAGGGGAGGGAGGGAGGGAGGGACGAGGCGGACCGTCCAGCCAGGACAGGACAGGACAGGACGGGATAGGACAGGCCGCCGAATGGATGGATGAGGTGGATGGATGGAGGGATGGATGGAACCGACGGGGCGGCCGGTACCTTGGCCGAGAGCCGGTCGTCGGCCATCCACTGCAGCGTCGGTGGTGTGGGCGCGTGCCGATGTCATTGGCAGCGCGCCTCACCTGGAGCTTCAGTGGACACAAGTCACAGAACAGACAGCCGCTGTGGCGGCACACCGCCCTGCCCTGCCCTGCCCTGCCCTGCTGTCCGAGGGCCCAATCTGGGCGGTGGCTGCTGATACCTGACACCGCTGTAGAGTCACCTGGGTGGCAGCATCTGACACCTGGAATCTACAGCATTCTGTCGAGCACCTCAGCTCCAGTCCAGCTCAGTCCAGGGCCGGCGAGAATGCCCTTCTTCCCAACAGACCAGGTTGCCAGTCTCCCACGGCAATGCGCTACGGAGTACGGAGTACTGCCGGCAGCTCGCGCAGGTGGTCACTCGCGGTCCGAGCACCGGCTCTGTCCTCTGCAGGTCTGCCTGGCGGCCCACCGCTGACGATTCACCAACAGCAAACGTGCGAAGCGTCCCCCACCTCACCCGTCGTCCGCCGAACGCCACATCACGCACCTACGCACCAACGGACGGACGGGGGTACCCTCAAGGGCCCCAAGGCCCAAGCCACCCTCGGCTATGGATCCCATGACCTCATCCCAGAGAAAATGCGCGCGACGGCCGACGTCACCCTCCACCTCAGCTGCTGCTGCTGCTCCCCTCTGCGCGGCTTGCCTGCATCGAATCGAAATCGTTCGACCGGAGGGTACGCCAGCCGCGACGGTGACGATGATGCCCTGTCCTATCCTGCCCGTGCGGAATCCCGACGGCGATGCGGCCCAACGTGGCCTCCCCATCGGCGCCGCGATGAACCAGGCCGTTTATGCGCTCGACGCCGAGTGAGACAAGAGAGCTGCCAGGGCGCGGCGGCGGTCGCGCATCACAGACACAACGCAACGCGAGAAAAAAAAGTTTTGGCCCTGCGCCGCCGCCGGCCGCCCGCCAGCCAGCCCGCTGCCGGGATTCAGTGCCTTCCCTTCAGCCCTGGCGCGGCGAGAGCCTCCGCTCCACTGGCACAGCTCCCCGCCGGAGGCGCTAAAAATAAAAGGGCGTGGGCAGTGGGCAGCTTGCAAGAGGCCGCGCCTTGGCACACGCAGCCCGTCCCTCTCCGTCGTCGCATCAGAAGCTGCCCATGCGCAGCGGCCCTTGTCTAGCTGCTGTCTTCCAGGTTGTCGCGATTCTTTCCCTGCTTGCTTAAAAACCTCGACGCCCTCCCACACCGTCGCACCAGCGTGCCCTCTGCCACACCACCACCAACAGTCACGGTTCGCCGATCGCATCCCCCCATCGTCTTGCCTCATCGTCTTGCGACGCAGCTTCGTCCGCCTTCATCGCACGCGACTACACGACTAGCTTCGCGACAGCTTCCCTCTGCCTCCCCCGGCGCTCAACCACAGATACACCGTCGCCATGGGTCTCCCCGGCGGCATCATCACCATCCTGCACGCCGTGCTGGCCGTGTTTCTCATCATCGAGCTCGGCCTGACCGCCTACGGTACGCGCCACACCAAATCCCCCACACCCGAAGAACTATAACACCCGGGGGGACGAGTATACTAACAGTGTTCTGCGTCTAGTCGTCAGCATCACCAGCGGCTCCTGGTACGGCTGGTGGTTCGGCTCCTCGAGCGTCAACTTCATGCTCTTCAACTCCATCTGGACCCTCCTCGTGCTCGTCTACCTGGCCGTGATCCCGCGCTTCGCCGAGCGCGCCTACCACTCGCTCGTCGCCCTCGTCCTGCTCGGCGTCACCACCATCTTCTGGTTCGCCGGCAGCATCGCCCTCGCCGCCCGCATCGGCGTCCCCGACTGCGACCACGGCTCCGCCTGCCGCGGCATCCAGTCCGCCCAGGCGGCCGTCGCGTTCGGCTTCTTCATCTGGGTCATTGTCACGGCGCTGACGGTGTTTGAGGGGCTGGGCTTCCTCAAGGGCGGCGCGCGCGCGGACACGACGCGCAAGCCGGGGAACCCCCCCGCTGCGGGTGTTTGAGCGTGGTGGTGAGGGCGCGTTTGGTGTTTCGAGAGGGGGCCCCGTCTTAATGCGGAGGACGATGACGACGACGACGACAGCGACGGCTACGAGAGCGCACGGAGCGCAAAGTTGACGACGTATGAATGCGGATACCAACACGGGTGCTGGGGTCAGGGGTCGGGCTGCGGTTTGGGTACTGGGTACTGGGTCGGGGCGAGATACCCTCCTTGCGTTTTGCTTCTCTCTGCTTATCACGGTCTCCTTCCTCTTCTTCCATCACTATTTACTACTCGTCTTTTCTGGGATATCCACGTCAAACCAATACCAATCTGATTTACTTGCGCGCCTACACGTCTTCCCTCGCCGTGCTGTCCTGACAGTCGGCCGCGTTGAACTTGACGACTGACAACTCAACCCCCGGCCCCCCTCGTCCCCCGCCAAGCATCGGCTGGCATCGTCACTCCGCATCCTCGGGCTGGTGGCTATCCGTCGTCTTCACCACCTCCTGCGCCACCTCCCAGCTATGCCCCGCCGGGTCCTCAAACGTCACGGTCCGCACTCCCCACGGCTTCGTCTCCGGCCCCGTCAGGAACGCCGCCAGCCCGCGCGCCCGCAGCGCCGCCATGCTGGCCTCGAGGTCCGTTGTCGCGAGCGTCATCTGCGCGCGGCGCCCGCTGCCGGCGGTGCCCACGGCCGACGGCACCAGCAGCTCCTCGGCCGCCGCCGGGCGCAGCAGGTTGAGCAGCGGCGCCACGCCGGGGACGCGCACCGCCGCCGAGTCGGCGTCCTGGAAGAGGAGCGTCGCGCCGAGGACGCGCTGGTAGAAGGCGAGGGAGGCGGCGGGGTCTTCGCTGACGAGGGTGATGGCGGAGAGGGTGCCGATGGGGGAGGTGGTGGGTGTAGTCATGGTGTGCTATGTCGAAGTCCTGATATGAATGGAGAGAGAGTGCCTCTGGTGTGCAGTACTTTGTTTGAAGTAGGGTAGAACAGGTGGCGGCAATGCGAACGGCGCGTCGAAGTGACGTCAGTCGTCAGCTCAGTGTTTAAGAGGGAGGCGGGCGGGGGGGAGGGCGGCGTGCAATAATACCACGAACTCAATGGCCATGTTCTCAGAATGCAAATCAGGTTGTGTAGACTTCCCCCCTTTGGCCCCGCTATATGTATGTGTGCAGAATTGAAGTACTCGCGGCTTTCGGGTAGGGTGTGCAACTGGCCCAGGTTCACAAGTTCACGACGTCGCAAGTAGCCGCAGCTGCTGCCTGCACCAAAGCTGCATCCCAGCGACTAGCCCCCCGTGGCGTCCATGCCACCCTCCACCCATGTCTACCCTCTGCAGTGGTCTGTGTCGACGATCAAGAGTACCAAGCACCCCGAACCGGAAGCTGCAGCCGTTCGCTGCCTGGCCGGTTCACGACCATGCACGGTCTCCGCACGACTGGCCCGCGAGGTTAGGACTGAACGTGGCGACGAGGTGGTGAACGCGCGTGGAGGAGGAAAAGGGTCCTGCGTGGCGCCCGGGAGTCGGCACGATCGAGGCGACGCGGGCTCCCGTCGCATCGACCATCTGGCGCCGGGCAGACGGTTGGAGTCGTTGTTTGCTTGGGCATGTGGGTGCAAAGAACACCGCCACCATCGACGGGCCTGCTTGTCAACCAAAGTTGTCTACGAAGAGGAGGCTCGCCGCAGGCGCAGCCCGCCGCAGGCCCCCCCGGAGGGCCCCCGGAGGGAAGAGCCAAAACCTCTAGGCTCCATTAATGATGACTGCACATGTAAGTGGCTCGGCAGCTCTACCGACGCCTGTGTCCCAGGTCACCTGCGGCGTTGGGTATTTTAACTGCACCTCGATGCTGTCGTAGAAGGCACCTGCGCTCTGGACTCAACTTGCGACTGGCATGGCCGGCCGTGGGTGGCGAAACTGAGACTGAAGCCATCTTCCGCGTTGCATTGAATCGAGACACCGGCAGCTGCAATGTTATTCTTGTCTGTTGACTATGCAATGATCAATGCGCTGACCAGTCTTCGTGCTGTCCGGTCTAGTCCGGGACGTCTTATCCTCTGCTCAAGTCCAAACCCCCAGTCCAAGTCCAAAAACAGGCACGAAAAGGGCCTCTGCCTTCTGATGCTCTGCTGCCAGTACCATTCGTCCAGCCACCTCACTCAGCGACTCGACTCGCCTGGTCATCAGGCAGCTCCCGGGCTTCCCTCCTGAGGCCCGGCAAACGACGTTCCGGGATGCCCCCCCGGGCGGCAGTCCGGGCAAGGCTCTCCTCCACTCTGCTCATGGTATTGAACAAGCCCTCCATCATGGCCCTCTCCCTCCTCTCCATCTCCCTCTGTATCCTCTCCTGCTCCGCCCTTTCCTTGTCTGACATTTTGCCCTTGTCCTTGCCCGTTGCTGACGCTGTCTTGTGTGCCCATCCACTGCCACTGTCGCCGCTCACGCCCGGCACCTTGCGGGAAACGCCCTCCACCCGCTTAGGGAAGCCAAAGGCATCCAGCTCGCGCACCCGGTCCCACTGCGCGCCGTTACCGCCGGGGCGTTGGCCACCGCCACCCGGCAGCGGTCGCGGACTCGGCCAGCCGCTCCGGGGGTTGCCGTTTGGGGACAGTGAGGGATTGTAGAGCCGGCCGGGCCTTGGCGAGGAGCTCCCCAACCGTGAGCCCTGACTGCTGCCGCTCCTGCCGCCGGCGCCGCCACTGGTGGCGGACATGCTGTTGCCGGGAGTTGGGGAGCGCGGGCCGACAAGGTGCACAGGCGCGGCGCTCGAGGGCGTGGCGAGGAGGAGAACGGCGACGAGACCTAACCAGAAGGCCATGGGGACAATCTTGCAAAACGTCCTCATTGTTGCGGCCTGTTAAATGCTCTTACTGAAAATGGAAGTTCAAAATGTTCCGTTGAATAGCGCGTGTCGGTGCCTGGCCTGGACATTGGGGCGATGGACCAGTAGTCATGACTCCAACGTTATATACAAGACAGAATGTTGTACGCCGCCTGGTATTCGACACTAGGTTTCGCCGGACTCTACACCGCTACTGCCAAAACAGCCTCGTTGTCCCATGCATGTGGCTATGAACACGATCATGGGATTCATGGCATCGATCCACTTTGGCTTGACAAATTAAAGCAGGAGGCTTGGCCGCGCAGTACCACCACGGTAATAACAGGTCCGTTGCATCCATGACTCTGATAATAGCATTGTTTCACCGTTAAGTAGTCTTGGCCGCACACGACACCGCGGTGGCAATAACGCACTTGTTGCCCTTATGGCATTGATAACAGAATTGATCCGCCGTTCTATTAAAGCAGTATGAGAAGCGCACGAGACCGCTGCGGCAATAACACACTCGGTGTCCTATAGCATGGTGGATGTGTGTTGAAGCATGCTTGCATAGGGGCCGAAGTGCCTTGACCCATCGTTGATGGCTTTCTGGCCTCAACAGCCGCACGTATCCCGCCGCCAATCCATAGCTCACACCCGAATTCCGGGCACCCTAGTCGTCCTCGCAACGTGGCCCTTCGTGAGCATCGCCCGGGTTGCAGCGATGCCGGCACGGCTCCTTCACCAGCGGTTGGTCTCCCACGCACCCGTACAGAGTCTTTTTCGAGATGTCGCGCCCCATCTCGCTCACGCTTGGGATCTCGTCTGCGTCGTACCCTGGCAACGGCCGCCGCGCTGTCAGCTCCGGCTCTTGTTGTGCTCGGGCGGTCCTGGGTGCACGCTTGGCGGCGAAGAAGACTAGGGCTTGTGGCTAACCTTGTTGCGAGACGAGCGTCTCAAAGCAGTAGCTGGTCCTGTCTACGCAGGTACCCTTTGCGGCGACTAAGGCGGCCCCCAAGGCCGCCAGAAAGAAAGTCTTCTTGGCCATGACTTCTGCGATCATGTCGAGTTGATTATCAGAAATGTTTTCAGACAAGAGGCACCTGGGCCTCTGTTCGCATATATACCCACAGTTGGAACGCATGGCGGCGCGCTGTCGCCTTGTGCCATGACATGTACAACATGCCATGGCCCCTAACGGGGGCATCTTTTGACGAGGGGGGAGGCTTGACCAGCGCACAGGGCGTGTCTCCCGGAGCCGCCTGCCGCCGCAGACGTTCGGGATGAGGCCGTGGAGCATGACGCGACTTTGAATCATTCATTGTCCCCCCATTTCCAGTCTTGTACTTGGAAATGCATCAGCTGATAGCTGGTCACGCCCGATCGCTAACATTGAAGAGACTCGACGTGAACTGGTACAAGCAGAGTCTCTGAAATTGTACACGTGTCATGGCCAAGGCGCCTAGAGATGGGAAGGAGAAAGCGTCGGCCACATAGCGCATAATGAACCCACATGCTGCTCAGGAACATGGTATGAATAGCCCATCAGAAGTTGGCCTGCTCATCTCCGGCATGTGCCAGGTTGGTAGCATGCCAGGCGCTTCCACGGCAGCGGGGACCAGCACGGCCTGTGCTCCATACGACAACATGAATTGAGTCACCCGATAGATATAACTGCTGAGCCTTTGATGGGTATGGCAAGTTACATGCTGTCCGTATTGCTGTAGTATGTGCCGCTCCTCATGGTACCCGTACCCACTTGATGCATATATGTGGCTAGGGGATGACAAACATCTGGCCTTCGTTTCCCACGAGAGCCCAAGCTCAAAAGTTGTGACGGCGTCCACACACGCGGCGTACCCAGGCTTGGCCGGCCTGATCTTGGAGCGGTGATGCCGGTGCGCCGCTCCTCTGTGTCACGAGCTCATGATCTCGTACGATGTCACGCGAGGCCGTCCATGCACATGAACGCCCTCTTCATCTCACGGCTTGTCACACTTGGCGTCGAGGAAGGGAGTGACTGAACACGCCTTCTGGAAGAAGGAAGCGGATGTTCCGGCAGTGCCTATAACTGCTTGGGAAAAGATTCCGCGCGGAGCTGCGCAGTTCAACACAGACCTCGTTGACGCGTTTCTGTCGCCCAAACATCTGGCGAGAGTCTCGCGCCGTTGGCGAGATGAGCATCTGGATCTCCTTGGTGTTGCTTTGCTCCTTTGCCGGCCAGGCCATCGGCAACGACGTCGCCTTGCAACGTCGAGGCGGCCAGTTCGCCGGGCTGTCGGAACGCGACGGTGACCTCCCCTTGCACTTGAAGGCCATCAAAAATGCCATCGAAAAGGGCTTCACGATAGACTGGTCCAAGCCGCCCTACCGCGATAGCTACGAGAGATCGGGGTGGCCGTGCTTCCTCCGGCTGTGGCAATGCGCAAGGGCCTACTACTACGTGCGCGACGAAATCGTCCCCTACGACGCAAAGATATCCGCCTGGTACACAGTCAACGTGGAGGGACGGGACACGGCGAGCACGAATCCTGTGGAGATGCGCATCAGCCAGTCCACCTCCCATCTTCGGTCCGCCACCGATGGATGGAGCATTTCTGCCTCGGGCACCGTCAACCCCCTCGGGAAGGTGGGCGGCGTCGTCACCCACGAGAGATCCCGGTCGACGGTCAGAGCCAACACCGACACGACCGAGTACTCGCGCACGTATGTGTGCCCCCCGTTCCACCACTGCCAGATCCAGACGCTGGCGTGGCACATGACCATCACGAACCGCTGCCACAAGACGCCCATCATCAACTGTGGCGGGGCCAAGCGAGCTTGCAGAAAACGTCACGTCTGGTGCCAGGAGTTTCGTGACTTTGCCGATTCGTGGTGCGACTACGACCACGTCCGCAACGACACTTGCACCATCGAGTCGCCGATCCTGGAAGCCGACGGGAGGCCCATGTTTGAGGTCCGCATGGTGGAGACTCCGCTCCGGCCCAGGATCAGTGGCTGGACGGCCGACTGCACCGTCGCCATCTTGGACGACGGGGAGCTCTGGGACCCGTCCACCAATCTCTTCCTTTCGGCCTCGACTCAGCGGTGGTACCAAAGACCGGGGAGGTTGCTGCCAAAGAAGACGGAATGTGCAGATCTATTTTTGGATGGTGTCCCCGAGGGTGAGGCGCAGGATGATTCGCCGGACACCGACGCATAAAGGTGGCACTCTTGGTGTAATGTTTAGTTAAAACCATCTCTCAGTTCGCTCTCTGCTCGCGTGATGGCGCAAGGGGGCTCCAGTCTGTAGGCCGCCACAGGCTTCGCGTGATCAAATCTACATGTGCTATAGTACTCGGACTGCGGACATGTCGCGACAACGAAGCATGGACGCCAAACGTTGAGGTCTGCATGGGACCACAGGGACTGTGTTCATCGACTTCTGCCAACGTTGTCACCTGGTTTCTTCCGCGAGGCTTCACCCGTTATTTGCCACTCGAATCTCTGCGTGAAGAACCGCACATCATGGGTTGAGAAGAGACCTCGCGTCCTGGCGGGCCATAACCGCACAATACTGAAGCGGCCACCGGATGTACACCTGGTACTGTGACGGCAAGGAGCCAGCTAGGCCCGTCGTCCACCTAATGACAGTATTCTTTCGGTATTCGGCCTTGGGATCGTCTGATGGGCCCATGCAGGCTTGGCCCAGTATGTACTCGAGCAGCAGCATGTGAATGGTGAGGAGCAGCCCGGCGTGGTTCCCGGGCTTCAGAAACTCGACGAATTCTTCGTTATTGAATGTAGTAGGCGTTAGAAGCGCAGCGATGAACGCTTCGCAGGCTGGAGGTGTGCTCAGCAGATGTGACCAAAAATAGGGATGGGAACCATCTTACCTTTTTGGGCAGAGATGCGCAGGGCGTCTATGCTCCGCCGTAGTTGGGAAAAGAAGCGACGCTCCGTTTCCTGATGACATATTTCCTCTACAAGCAGCAGTGAGGCGGTGAACGAGTCAATGAGTGCCAAGTCTTTCGGCCTCTCTGCCACCATCCCGAGCAACAAATCGACATGTCGTTCAGGGGTGAATATGTGGAATATCGAGGTAGGGAATCTGGGCGTGACCATGTTGACCACGAAGCCGGCGACCCTCGTCAGAGTCATGTACTCGACAATTCCGTCCGGCAAAAGAGTAGTTTGCGAAAGGAGACAGCCGATCGCAGCAAACAACGCGTCCGCATCCGCCGTCGTGGTCGGCGCGTACCCGATTTGCTCGTTGAACAGTTTTATTGCAACGACGCGGTGGTGAAGCGCCCGAGTGCCCGCGTGTGCGTCTCCGCTGTGTGAGACGTGCGAGGCGCCCAGGGCTAGGATCGCATGTTCGAGGCAGTTGTACTATCGAGTGCTTGTAAGTAGGAGTTCGAGTGCGGTCAGGGGCAGTCGGAAGGCGGATAGGGCGTACGCTGTGAGACATGGTGGCAGCTTGCGCCCACAGGTGGCCGCTGCGAAGAGGAAGTGTGGGAATAGCTGCAGTGAGGAAGCGGTGGTAAAAGTGCCGGTCCTCCAGACTTTGCGCTGACAAGGCGGGCCTGATGGGAGCCGTCACGGCTGCCGGTGAGGCGGATGAGGGCCGCATGCAAAGCAGTCCGGACTGGGAGCATGGCGAGCACTCAGGCCGAGATTCATCGCAGCTGATTCTCCTCTGCCTACAGTTGAGGCAGCTCGATAGTCCCCTATAACTTTGGTCAGAGCTCGGCGCATCGCAAGATTCTACCGTGGCAGCAGGCGCCCAACAAGAACATCAGGTCAGGTCACTTACCACCCTATTGAGGCTTCATGTCGTCCTAGGAAAACCGGCACTGCCGCATCGGCCTGCTGTGTGTTTGGCCGGGAATACCTGACGACCCACGGCTCATCGTCTCTATCGACCTCGGGTGCGGTCGGACTACTGGACTGGGATTCAGGATGAGGGTTCACGCCGCGCTCTGGCACGTTGGTCACCCAGACCAAGTCGCGTGAGTAGCCTCCGCAGGCCAGTCCGAGTCTAAGACACTGGGAGCAACTCGGCAGCCGTCGATCGCACTGTGATTGTTTAGCGCGTCACGTTCACGGCGTGGGCTGCTTCACTCGGATATCGAAGGACAGAGAGTGTGCGCACTCGTACGTACCCCTTTCTTCCTCCGCCGGCAGGTGCTGCAGCCCTTGGATCTACCAGGGACCCCGACCATATTGTGCGCTGCGCAGCAGTGCCATGAAGAAATGAGCGATCACGAAGCGATGTCGCGGTGTTGAGAAAGGCGTGAGGTGATGTGGCGAGCCCGGCTCGACATCGTCCGAGATCCGAGTGCCTGGTAATAAACTACCTGCTCCCCTGCTCGCCTTGTCGCTCTGCCGTGAAGAGTCGCCTGCCTGCCGGAGTGGCGGGCCCTAGTGGCCCAGTGTGGCGCTTTTCAAGGCATGCTCTGAGACGCCCAGGCATTTTCAGCCGCGGGACATTGAGCTTCTGGGTTTTCGGAGTAAGATTCAGCCACAAGGCAGATCGTAGTGGTTCAGCGCGAGCGAAGCGCCTGGAATTTGCCATTGGTGGGGTTAGACGAGACATCTCCCTGTTCGGCACAGCCGCCGGAAAGAGTCCGATCAGCCCGTCCAGCCCTGTACCGGCCCGGTTCCGGGACATATTGAACCGGCGCCATATCCCGGCGACGCCTTTACTAGTAATCAATACGAGGCCATGAGATGACGGGGCGAAATATGAAATCGCGGCGACAGAGACGTTTGTTCCGCCTTGGTTCGACATGAAGCCTCAACTGCACCATGACGCGGTCGGACTGACGTGGCAACTGCTGGCGCCTGGGGTGACACGATCTCACTCATGTATATGCAAGGTAAGGGCTCATCTCTGTCGGCAAAATTTCTTAACCGAGTCGATGAAGCGTGAAACCAGGCCAAGGGAGGACCTGATTCCTCGTCTTGAACCTTGCACGGGCGGCGCAATCCCAACTGGTTTGCGACCCCGCCTCGTTTCCCGCGGGCCGCGATGCTGCGGGGTTGATAGCATCAGTGTATACGGGGCGGACTGAGCTGTCAGAGTTCGGGAGATTGAAGTCTGGCTTTCACAATTGAACTGCGAGCATGGACATGACCTTAAGAGCACTTGCTACATGCACCGCGGGTCATAACGCCAAGAAGTAGATCAAAGTCCCCAAAAGGCCGGCGTCATTGGGACTCTGGTATTGCTTTGTCGTTTATTGGGGACAGCACGTAATGTTAGGTGACTCACCCTGCCACTAGCACAGACGCCGTAATAGCTTCTGAATCCAACGTCAATCATGTGAAACCCCACGACATACCGATGTTTTCAACACAGCCATTGCATGATTGCTGACTTGCCTCCATCATCGACCTTCTACAACGCTCACGGCGCAATCCGATATGGCCACATTAACCTCTGTTCCCGTTACTCTTCCCGAGGACAAAGTTCCCTCCAAGCAGATGGTCAGAGACATCATCGGCACATTCCTGACAAACGAATGGCCAACCGTGGACCCCGAGACTCTCACAATAAAATATCACGCATCGTTCGCCAATGCCCATTGCCCTGTCGAGCGGCCGCGCCCGACGAAGAGTACCCCCCTCGAGCCGTTGAAGGTCTTTATCAAATTCCACAACGAGGGCGGGTCAGACTTTGAAGTGTTTCGGCATCTGGCTCCGAGCAAAGCCGACGAAGCAACTCTCTGCTACGAGTACGGCCGGTCCGGCCTGGGAGCCCAAGTCCACGGCTTCTTCAAAACTCAGGATGGCACATTGGGAAGGATCGACGAATTTCTCGAAGCGCGAACGCTGGAACCAGACGATGTTGAGAATGTCGACATTCGTGCAGACATCGCCAGAGGACTGGCAACATTTCACAGCTTGCAGGCTTCACTGCAAAAGAAGAGCGTGAACGATTACTACGAAGCAGTCATCAAAGGCCTCGAAACGTACCAAGGGAAGGAAAGTTTGAAAGCGCTTGGCCACGAGGGAGGAGTCAATATCGACGAACTGGTTGACTACAACTTTGCAACGAGGCTAAGCAAAGTAGTCGACAAGCTGGAATCCATTGGAGCGAAAACAGGCTGGTGCATCCACGATGTGCAGTTCATGAACGTCCTGGTCAAAAACACTCCCAAGCAAGGCGAGAGCAGAATCGTCCTCATTGACTTTGAGTTTGTGATGCACAACTACCGAGCGTTCGACATTGGAGGACATTATATGCAAAAGCTGTTCAAATGGTTCGACGAGGACAACAAGATCGCGAATTGCAGGCCGTACACGGACGAGGAGAAGCGACACTTTTGCAGCGAGTATGCGCAAAAGTGGAATGAGCTGACGGGGGACTCGGACACTGCGGAACAGGTGTATCTGGAGGCCGAGTACGGATACATGTTGGCCATCACCTTTGATGTCCACAACATGCTGTGCTTTATGGACGAACAGGGAGATAAAGATCCGTTGAATCTGTTGGGCCTGATCAAGCTGTTTCACGAGTTTGTCAATCAGTACCAGAAATTCGGGCTAGACAACTTTTGATGGCTAGAATCATGATTTGGGCAACCATGGCAAATGACGCGAGTCATACATTTTTGGGCAGTGGAATTGAAGCCAATGTGATTGGCGTAGCGGCCATAACAGATTCACTTGCATGCATGAAATGCTTTATTTCCTACGCCGGAACGCTTGTATTGCTACGTGTGTACACTGCAACTACTTGTTCCCTGGCCATGGCGTGTTGCGAGTCGTGGGCTACGCACCACCCTACACGGGTTGGAATCCCAGAATCATGGTAAGTTCATTGTGAACAAGCTGACGCATCCAGGTCTGGTAATCGCCCTCGGGCTCAGCCACTGTGCGCCAGTGAACAGTGGCATTATTCTCAAAGAGCACCGTAATCAGGGCTTTCCACTTCTCCATCTCGGCAGTATCGTTACTCACTCTGGCGTCGTGGTAACGAAGGGTCGCGTACTCTATGGCACTCTCGCCGTTGTTGTTAACCTGGTTTATATGGCCGCCCTGGCGGATGCACTCCTTGAGGTTGTCGGCAGTGGGGTCGTGGCGAAAGACGTCAAAAGGGTCCTTGGACATCATCTTGGGAGTGTGATAGGGGCTACGAGTGTGTGTACGAATGATGTATCAACAAAGTGATTCAAGGGTGGCTTGTCTATTGCGAGCAAGTGGTGCGGTGTTGTCAGTTGTGGAAGTCAAGTGTATCGATGTACCAGCTATTTGTGAGTATTTTTATAGAAGCTGCCAAGGGCTCACTGAATCATAAGTGAATCATAACTGCAGGTCTGTTCTTCCTCACAAGTAGTGATTCTGTGAGCCCGTGATAATCTAGTTATCTCATCTGAGTCCCTTAGACTGGCATCCAGAGCTCCGACAATCTTAACAGTGGCTATTGATGCAATCTCATCGGGCTTGGACGAAGCGGTTTAGCTAGATTTTGAAACAACCTCCTTTTAAGAGTCGCAATCGCTTGGATACCCGAAATCTCCAATCATAGACGTTTCATCGCCCCCTGGCGGCTTCACCGTGAATTTGAGGTGCGACGGAGTGCCCCAGTTGCCAAAGACGGACCGTATCGGATAGTAGTAGCCCTGCACGAGGTCTCGCGTCCCGCACGTCTTGCGCGACGTGCGCCCGTAGTAATTGTAGACGAGCGGTTGCGCGCCAGGTGGCACCGTCTTGGTGGTATTGCCTTCGCCGCAGGGGAACGCGTCTACGGAACCGATGTAGAAGTTGTCGACATTGTCCGTGTCGGCGCAGAACGTGTATGGCCCCGAGGCGGGCGCCTTGTAATACCCTGTGAAAACGAGCGTAAAATTGTTGGCGTCAAAGGTGATGCCCGCAAACGTGTTTGTCAAACCCGGGTAGTAATTACTCCCTGCTGGCTCGGCGGGGATGTATATGCCACGGCGACCGTCGGCGCCGTAGAAGTATGGCACGCTTAGTGTGTCCGTCATGCCCGTTCCGAGCGGCTCAAGGTCGAGGTAGTAGTCGGGGCCTAGGCCGCCCGTGCGGGCGTCGATCCCGTAGGCCTGCGTCTCGATGCTGTTCTCGTAGTACTTGACAGTGAGGCCACCACCGGAGCCACACTGTTCTGGAATCGTGTCGCAGGCATCCGTAGGCGAGGGCGTGGACTCACTTGAAGAGGTGGAGGAAGTTGTTGTAGATGTCTCTGTGGTTGATGAAGCGCTGCTCGTGGTAGACTCAGTTGTGGTGCTGGAGCTGCTGAGGCTGGATGAACTGGTCGTGCTGCTTGAGCTACTCGTAATCGTAGTAGACGTGCTTGTGCTGGAAGTGGTTGTCACGCTGCTTGGGCTAGTGGCTGTGATGGTCGTGCTGCTTGAACTGGTGGTAGTTGCTGTGCTTGAACTGGTGGTAGTTACTGTGCTCGTGGTGGCGATGATTGTTGTGCTGGACGTGGTGGTACTGCTGGGGCTCGTAATGCTTGAACTGCCGTCGGAGCCTGAGCTGGTAGTGGTACTGCTGGTAGCGGTTGTGCTGGATGTGCTGGTAAGACTGCTTCTGCTGGTGGTCGAAGCGCTGCTAGTGCTCTCACTACTCGCACCATTTGAGGTCTCTGAAGAAGTGACGCGCGAACTGCTGGTTGATGTTGTGTCGCGGGTGCTGCCCGTGGATGTTGTATTCTTTGAAGTGCTCTTTGTGCCGGTTGTTGACTGGGTTGTAGTGACACTTGTCCTGGAAGTGGACGATGTCTGGGTTTCCGTAGCGGACGCGCTGCTTGTCGAACTCGTCGTTGGTGTCGTTTCACGCGACTTGGTACTTTGCGATCGAGTGATTCGATTCGTGGTGCATGTGGTTCGGGTATCGCCTGTCGAAACAACGGTGGTAGTGGTGTCCGTGGGAGCAGAACTGTCCGTAGACATGCATGGCAGGGACTCTGTCTCTTCAGCGGTGGTTTTGGACGAGCATGGAATCTCCGTCTCCGGCTCACAGACAATGATGGTACAGTCCCCATCACCCCCAGAGATTGTGGACGTGTAGCGCTCAGTTCCGGAAGTAATGGTATACTTGGAGATGGTTCTGTAACTGTTAGCCCGAAATTGAGTTCTAGATTCCTAGTTGTAGAGGTTAAATGCATACTCTGTGGAGCAGATGCTGGCAGTTGGCGTCAACGTCGTGGTGATGCATGTCGGGGCGTCCGTGACCGTCAAAGTGCAGCCAGGAACCACTTCAACGACGGTAGGCCGCTCGACGAGCGTCTCCACCACCACTGGACAGCCGGCGGGCGTCTCGTGCACGATGACTTGCACCTCGACGACTCCGTCGTAGTGCGGCGTCTCGCACGGCGGCTTAGAATTTTGTGGCACGGGTTGCTTTAGCCCATGCGTAATGCAGAAGACGCCCAGAAGGGCCAGGGGAATTCTGGTGCGCATACTGCCTGTCCGTGGCGATGGTGACGTTCCGGGACCAACTCTCGTCGTTCTGGCAGCCCTTCAGCGACGACGCCATGCTACGGTTTATAAGTCTGGTACTTGAGACGAGAATATTTGCCTTTGGCCATTAAGTTCGCTTCTCGGCAATCGGGCACAGATTGTGGAGGAATGCCACCTCGCCAGTGCTGCTGACTTGGGGATAGCATCTCGGAGGCGGGCCGACTTGAGCCTCAGGCGATTTGGCACTGCCGAGATCGTGGAGCACGCGTGTCACCGATCATCTCTAAACTGTTCTACGCGGTACGCTTAAGCTGCTATGAAGGGAAGGTAGACTTTCACGTTGTGGAATGGTCGTCGCGGTTGGTTCACAATGGTCCGGCGCTATCCCAGCTGTGCCCTGAATCGCTCCAGATGATGAGTGATCACGACGCGTAGAGGCGATAGTACGACCATGCGCGCCATGATGACAGCGCCGAGGGATTTCGGATGCCCAGAAGAAATGCAAGTGCACTTATGGTATTTGGCGAGCCTGTCTTGTCGACATGATGGTATGAAGGCACTGGTGATGCTCGTGTAGGCGAGCCGGGAAGCCCATGATTCATGACAATGGGCTCATTTGCATCTTGGCACAAGATGCACTCGTGCTGCATGGCGTCACGGCGATGCCGACTCGCCCTTTACAACAAAGTCTGGGCTTGCGTTGACCAACACCATGGGCGGAGAATGGTCACTTCAGTAGGTTCCACAAGATCGCAGTTGAGTCTCTCCTCGAATTGAGTTTCAAAACTTCCGACTAGCATCTATTGGGCGCTGGCACCCTCTTGGCGTTGTCTCCCAAGCGCAATCCACTGCCTAGTTTCTCTGGCGGATGGCGGCGGCGTCGAAGCCACTCTTTCATGTGGCTCTCCTTTCCTCCACTGCCGACAAATCCTTCTCCCCAAGCTTATCCAGGGAGATTTGGATGGCCGAAATATCCGCCGAGCGAAAGTCCCTCGTGGGCACCTTTTGCTCAAAGAGAGAGTCAATATCTTCTAGGCTCCGGCCCTTCATCTCCGGAACGTAGAACCACGTCAGGGCTGTAAACACCACACTCAGCCCACCGTATATGAAGCCGACCTTGCCGCCGAGGTTGGCATAGTCAGCGCCGATGAGATATGGCGCCGTGAACGACACCAGAAACGCAGACAGCACGGACAGCGACACCGCCAGGTTGCTCGTCTTCTCCACCACACGGCGCGTCGACGCCTCGCCGAGCACAATGTATGGAACTGATGCCCACGACAGGAGGTAAAAGTAAAACCAGATCATGACGCTGGCCACCAGCAGTCGCTTCTCAGTCGTGGAGGGATGAGCGATGCTCCCCATTGCGCCCATGATGAAGAGAAAGACCGAGTTGGCGGTCCCGCCGATGAGGAGGATGCGGCGCCGCCCAAAGGAGTCGACCACCACGGTCGTGAGGATGGAAGCCGCCACGCCCAACGCTTGCTGAATCATGCCGAGCTCGAAATTGTTGGTGTAACCCTGCTGCTTGTAGAATGTCACCGAGTACTGCGAGACGAATGCCTGGCCCGTGATTTGCTGCCCGACCATGACAATGACCGCGACAATTGTTCGGCGCTGTGTGCACGTCAGTCTCGCCGCTAGGAAGGCTTCTGGACTGTACTCACCCTATTTGTCCCAGTAAAGATCTCCTTCCACGAGCCTTTGCCTTCGTTGCTTTGCAGGTGACCTAGAAGGTTGACCTCGTCCTGGATGACTTCGTCTGGGACATCTTTCTTCCGTAAGCGGCGGAGAGAGGCGGTTGCGTCCTCGAAGCGATCTCGCGATAGGAGCCTGAAAGCCTGGTGAGCCTTACTGACTGAGACAGCTGCCACAATGGTCGAGCGCTTACCAGCGGGGTGACTCGACAATCATCGGGTACAGAACGAGAAGCAGTCCAGGCATGACAAACTGGACACCTGGTTCGATTAGCTTGACGAATTCACAATATCTAGTAAGCCTACTCACCGACAGAGATGCGCCACCCGGCGTCGGTTTTGATCGTCGACGTCCCGTAGTTGACCCCCGAGGCCACCAGCTGGGCAACCACAATCTGCATCTGCAGTTGCGACGTCACCATGCCGCGCAGACAGGCGGGAGCACACTCGGCCATGTAAGCGGGCATGACATTGACGCAAATACCCGTCATTGCATAGCAAAGCATGCGCCCGACCGTGAACTGCGCTACCGTAGTTGCAGTAATTTGAAGGAGAACACCACTATTGATGTGAGAAGCCGGGCACGGACAGTTGTAGGCACAACGCACATGAAGGAGGTGGCGATCACCGCCAGGACGGATTTCTTGCGACCAATCTTCTCCGCCAGCGGTGTGGCAGCCCAGCATCCCTAGGTATCAGTCAAGTCAGTGTATGCCTCGAGTGCAAGGAGCGGACGGACGAACGAGCAGCTTCCCCAAGTATGGGAATGAGTTCAGGATCGACACAAGGTACGACCGGATGGCATACTTGTGAGTGACTGCGTTGTAGGAGCCGAATCGCCGGACAAAAGCTGGGCAAAAGTGTCAGTTTCGTGGTTGAACCTATACAGTTCCGCTTGCACGTACGATCCATGGCTTGCACGCCAGCAAATACAGAGACCTAAGAGCGGTGAGCCTACGCATCGATTGAGTGAGGTAAGTTCATACATCGTAGCCATAGTTCCAAGCAGTGACCGCAAGGTAGCTGTCGTGGTCAAATTAGGACATTTTCCGCAACACGGGAGCCGAAGACTGACAAGGTCATGAACAAGACCATGGGAGTAAACTCCTTGATTCGGGCTGTAAAGGGCAGCGTCTTGCCGTTGCTGAGGGTCGCCATGGTCAATGATCAAGTGGGACGCTGTGAGTAAAGAAGGGTCTCTGTGACAGATGGCATCGATCGCCAAGCATCCAAATAGCGGGCCGTCCGATTCTTAAACCAGATCTTGGGCTCCCAGCCGCGTCCTTGTATTGCGCCGTGAGCACCTTCATGTTGTCGCGCGGGGAATCATGTGGCGGGCGCCAAAGCGCCAACACCCTGCTCTAAACCGAGCTGAGAGGTCGCAATATTTGACGTTGCCGATCGTCCGAATCCTGTGCCGAGCGGCCCATGCCTCGTCCGTTGCCAAAGTTCCCGGACAAGAACATTGAAGCCACCAACAGTCGCTGGCACAATCAGCTTGCATCACCAACAACTGCAATGGCGCAATTGGCTTCAATATTACAGAGTCCTAATACGCGTTGCATGTCAATCCGCCGGGCAATACGCACACCTCGGAGCCGTCGCCTATCTGCTGGCGTATTTGCCGAGCGACCCGACCGGACGGCTACCCCCGGCTGCACACCATGTAAGCTCCCAGTAACCAGAAACGTGAATAGCAGAGGCGACTAAGAAGCCTTGCCTCTGAAAGGAAGCGAACGGCTTCCAGTCGGAGACATGGCCACATGCAAGATCGGCTGTCGTCGCTCGGAGCGTTCGTCTCGACGGGTAAACACCTCCAATTCGCCATTGTAAGCCAGCGTAACGCCAGACATGCTGATCGGCCGGGCCGTGAGGGGCATGGCATGAAGGGCACGGCATCAAGACACTGGTTTGCGAGAGTGCTTGATGGAGGATAAAGGAAGCGACTTGGTCCGGCTCAGTGTGCGTGTGAGACCCCATCGCAAAGAGTTGCTCTGTTTAATTGAGCAATCACTTCCATCGCAATGACCGCCTTGCTGGTTCTCAGTCTTGCGGCACTGGCCGTGTCGCAAACCACTTGTCAATCAGTCACGCTGAACCTCCAGCAGAAGGTGCCTGCTGGCGCTTCGAAGCTCATAGACTCCTCGTTCCCGAGCTTTGCGATTCAGGGGAGCTCGTTTGCGTCTTACACGGGTAGGCCCACACTCGATTGCGATGAAGCTGCGCAGAAACATGAAGCTGATTATGCCACAGGAAATGCATCTCACCCAAATACCTTTTCGCGAAACCTGATTCGCTCCGTCGAGGAGCGCACCGGCGGCCCTCTCGTCGTTCGCGTCGGCGGCACAAACACGTCTGTTCTTCCTCCTCTGGATGTGTACAAGTCACTCACAGTATCCCCAGAGACTACTCCAACTTTAACCCAGACCAAGCCCTGCCCGTCACGCCGCCCCAGCAAGGCGCCGGCATCGGACAAAAGTTTGTCTTTGGGCCCGTCTTCTACGAGGGCTTCCGCAACTGGCCCGGCACGCGCTGGGTGTACGACGTGCCGTTCGCCAAGAGCAACAAGACCAATTCGCAGTACGAGGCACGCGCCGCCGTCGACAACATCGGGCTTGAGAACCTCGAGGCGTTAGAGATTGGCAATGAGGTCGACCTGTATGTTAAGCAGGGCTCGCGGCCCGGGGGGTACGGGCCCGCCGAGTTCTCGGCCGATTGGCGCGCGTACGCGGACTGGCTCGTGGGTGCGCTAGGGCTGCCCGCTGGGCCGTTGTTCCAGACGTTGACTCTGTCGTCGGCCCATGCCGCTCCTTTCAGCGCGTACGTATCTGGATCGGCTACGGTGGAGTCGAGCTTGGACTGACAGTGTAACTTGGAGACAATCCGTGTTTGATGCCGGAATAACAGACGGAAACTTGGTCAAATCAGTTTCTCTCCACCAGTGAGTCCACCGCCTCGACGTTCAACAGATCATGCCCCTGTGCTGACCTCGCTCAGCTATGAATACACAAATACCACCACTGGCCTGCAGTGTAAGTTCATGACGCGTGCTTGGCATGGATCCGTCAGCGACATATGGGGGCTGACGGAGGTACAGCCACCTTGATGAACCACACGTTTGTCAAAGACGGACTCAACGCCTACCTTCCAGACTTTGAGTACATGCAGGCGCATTACTCAAATGTGCAGGTCGTTCTAGGCGAGTCCGGGAGGTATACCGACAAGCAGAGCTCCATTGACCAATCCGAAGGCATCTTTGGGTCAGCACTCTGGACAGCAGACTACCTGCTGTACGCAGCGTCCTTGGTGAATTCCCCCGCCCAGTTCACTGTTTTTGAGCTCCTGGCTCTAACAACAGGCAGAACGTAACGAGGGTAAACATGCAGCTTGGGCAAGTCTTTGGCTACGTCGCCTGGCACCCTATAGCCTTTGACGGCCTGCAGCCCGAGGTGCGCTCCCCATACTACGGCCACCTTCTCGTCGCCGACTTCATCGGCAAGAGCAAGGCGTTCCGGGTCAGCGAGGTGCAGACAAACGACGACCTCGTCGCCGCCTACGCCGGGTACGAGCAGGACCAGCTGCGGCGCGTGGCCATCATCAACTACAAGGTGTGGCAAAAGGGCAGCGGAGCGCGTCCGGCGCGCACGTTTACGCTGCCGGTGCCGCGGGGCGTCCGATCCGTCAAGGTGCAGACGCTGACGTCTTCCGGGGGTGCGAGCGTCAACGGAACCGCGTCTTGGGCTGGCCGCACGTGGACGTACGAGAACAATGGCGTTGGGGAGAAGGTGCCGGGCCTGGACGAGTTTACGACTGTGCCTGTCTCCGGGGGTAGGGCGAATGTCAAAATTGGGGCCAGTGAGGCGGTGATTGTCCACATTTGATCTGTCTGAGATGGTTCTCAATAGGTTTGCAGATGGCAGTTGTCCGAGCGAACCAGCTGTCCGTTAGTAGCCACACGCATCTTTCTGGACAATGGTTCTGCGCAAACAGCCAACGAGTCGAGAGCGGCGTGGATTTCTGTCCTTAACTTACAAGCGCTAAGCATTCACGCCACCTAGCCAGTTTCTCGGGGCGATACTGGATTACCTCCTGAGGCCCCTCGACCTCCGGCAGGTACGCCGCCTCGCAGGCCGCAAAGGAAATCTTGGGCTGCGCCTCGTAGAACAAATCGAACTCGCCATCCATGGCTTGCTCCAGTGTCTCGATGTCGCCCCGCGGATGCAGCTGCCGCCAGGGATGGGTGCACTGCTCGCCGACGCACGCCTTGAGCACCATGAGCAGCGCGTCGAGGCGCTGCACGACGGGGTACAGCGATCGCCCAAATAGAGACCTTCGTGAAGTCGTGTTCATGTTGGTGGCGTCGAGAATGTTAAACGTGTGAGGCAGCAGGTTCGTCGTCTGGTGCTCGTCGGCGACCATGTCGTACAGCTCGTGCTCGTTGGTGCACCACACAGAGTAGTACAGGCTGTACTTGTCACCGACGATACGTAGCGCCTTGTACGTGTTGTTGGCCACGCCGGGGATTTCGCTGTTGAGGCTCGCGTACGGGCCTAGCTCGTAGGGATGGCCGCCGCCCCAGAGCTCCACGTTGAGGTGCTCGCTGGGCTTGCTTTGCGGGTTGGCGCCCGGCACGACGGCCGGTATGACCCGTCCGTCGAGGTTCGTGCGGAGCGGCAGGCCGAAAAGCGCGAGGAACGTGGGCGCCATGTCCGTGTGCGTGGACACGGCGTCGATGAGCCGGCCTTCAGGCACGCCTGGCCCGCGCCATACCAAGGGGATGTTAATGTCCGTCTCGAAGCCCTGCTTCTTGCCCGGGCCCAGCCTGTGCTGACCCATGTGGTAGCCGTTGTCGGTCGTGAACACGATGTGTGTCTTGTTGGTGATGCCTGCCTCCTCAAGAACAGACAGCAGATCGTCCACCATGTCGTCCACGCCGGCGATACAACGGGCCCGCGCGCGGTACAGCTCATCGAGGTCCGCTACGGCGGAGTCGTTTAGCCGGGGTAAGTTACGAAGCCACGATGCACCGCTCTGGTGGTTCTTGCTGTTCCAGTTGGGCGTTCGGGGTACGAACCTGTCGGCGAAGGCGTCTTTCCACCTGGCGGGCGGGATCGGGTGGTAGCTGTGGCGGTTGTTGCTGGCGTTGATGCCGATGTGCGGGGTCGTCGGGGCCACGACCATGAAGAACGGCTTACCGTCGTCGATGGCGCGATGCAGCATGTCCAGCGAGTGTTTGGTCGTGGCGTCGATGGCGTTGACGCCGGAGTGGGAGACCCAATCGTGGTTGTCAAGCGTCCAGGTCGAGTTGAGGTAGTCGTACGCACCCGGGTCCAGAAGGAAGCTTGGAGAAGTCGCAGGGTCAGCGGGTGGTTCAGTATGGGGAGCTCGTGCGACTCACTGGCTGCCGGTCCAGCCTCGCGGCGGCGGGCTTCGATAGTTATCGATGGTGAGGCCGTCCATCAGCTTGCCGACATAGTAGGTGTTGATGCCCGCGTCCTGCAGCCAGAGCGGCAGGTAGTCATCGTTGAGACCCTGTCGGACAAATTTGTCATATGCTCCTGTGAGTGATGTTAGAGTCAATTGCGACAGGACGGACCTGGGGAAAGGTGACTCTCACCATGCGGTGGCGAGACTTCGGTGACGTTGGTGTTGCTGCGGCTGTGTAAGCTCTGGCACGTCGCCATCTCGCGACATATTTCTCTGGGAGCCTCCAGTCAGGGGCTCAGACGTACTGGACGCATTTGCCTGTCAGCAGGCTCACACGCGAGGGACAGCAAAACGTGCTGGTGCAGTAGTGTCTCTGGAACCTGACGCCGCTGGTCGCAATCTTGTTTCGGACGTTGGGCATAAAGGCCATGGAGTTCATGTGCAGATCTGCCAAGGGCATCGAGTAAGTGCACACGTACGGAAACGCACTCGGTATCCCACCGTCGCATGTATTGATGCGGCGTTACCTTGATCATCTGTCATGACGAGCAAAATGTTTGGACGCGTGGGTCCTGTCTCAGCGGCTGCATGTCTATATTGGCCGCACATCAGGGCCAAGAGGAGCGCGTTTGATGCGCTAGACCAGGTTTTCCAGAGGAACTGCATGGCGCGCCGACTGGTTTGGCCAATGTCGGTGCTCAACGTCGCCGCGTGTAGGAGGGTTCATCCAGTGACGTGCTTGGCTCACTCAAAACATGGGTGCTGGATCGGAACGCCGGGTGCTCAACGCGGTGACGGGAAGCCTGGGCCCTGCATTATAAGGCAACAGGTGCCAACTCATTGACGATATGCTCGGGGCGCGCCGTCGGCAGAGCCTGTAACTCATGAATCCTTCTCGGCGCTTGGCGGGCGTGAGTGGGTGACCTTGATCTCGACGTGCCGAATGTGGTGCAGTGGCCTGCCTCGGGACTCGGAGTAGGCGGATGAAAGGCCGCGATACTTGGTACAGCGGGCCGGGTCCGCAGAGGAAGTTGAGGTAGATTGTGACACGCAGCCCGGCTAACGCCATTTCCAGCTGGTGACGAGCGTCTGTGACACGTACAAGGCGTGCTCTATTGGGTAGACGGCGTTGTTATGTTGGAATGCGGCTCCTGCAGGATCCGGCGCACATGTGGTCCACCGATACGTTCATGTTATCGCAATGGACGACGACGGCTAGTACCGAGGTTGCTCCTGGGAAAATTGCACGCGCGCACTGCATGAAGTAGGCGGGAGCACGAGTACGGATGGTACCAGTAAACGGATAGGATGCCGTTGTTGCATTGAGACGGGGTGCGGGGGCATGGGCCCGTACGTTGCACGGCCACTTCACAGGTATGGCTGCAGCCAGCCTGTCTGCCCATCATCCTATTCGACTCCCAGTCCTGGTGCGAGGAAAAGCATGACGGGGGCGAACCAGTGGATGACAAAAGCCCCCTAGCTTCCTCAAGCTCGCGAGACGTGCGCCATGGTGCCGTTCCGTTTCTGGCGCTCTGGGGTACGGTTTTCTAGGCCGTCCGGCACCTCGGGGCTTGGGCGTATATTGGGATCGCCATCCGTGAAGCCTGCTCCTGTCGATGCGTTGTTGCGAGTCAAAGGCCCAGGCCATGTGCTCGTCGTAGTCTGTGCTGCCCGTCTGGTCGCTCTGGCAGCAACGGGCACTTCGGCGGAACTCACACGCGACCCCGAGCGCCGGCCATCGGACCCGCTCCGGGCCTTCGCTATTCCCGGGTTTCCGGATGCCGAACAGCTTGCAGCAGCGCCGGAAAACCCAAGCCCGGGGTGGCCGGGGCCGGGGCTGGGCTTGGGGCTGGGCCCGGCGCGGGAACGGAACGGAACCCGGAAGCCCCACCTACAGCGGCCGGCGTGGCTGCGGAGCCAGCCCGTCTTGTCACCGACCACGTGGGTGCAAGGAAAGCGCCGCCGGCGATCAGCAGCGAAATTTCAGTGTATCGAGTGGCCGTTTTTATTTCCCTTCCTTTCCGGCTCACAGGCCGGCCAGCACGTTTCCCATCAGCGGCCCGGATTCACGCCCGTAGGCTCCCAGCCGGCCGGCACGGTGGGGCGCTCTCAGAGCCCCAGCCACTCCCATTTTTGGCCCCCACCCGGAACGCTTCAGACTTCAAGCCCCCCCGGCCCCCAGCCACATTTTCTACAAGGGGGTCCAAGGTTCCCGTTTCTTCCGGCAACGCAGGGCATCTCATCTTGCCTTGCGTGAATCTCCGACTCGATCGTGGGTTGGGCAAGACAAAGAGAACCTACGAAGTAACGTTCTCGTGACATGCACGCCTATGCATGGATGCGCTTAGCGACGAACTCCACTGCTGCATCTCGTAGCCCCAGGTCCGGGAATGTGTGCGACTCTGATCGAGAGGGTGAGGCTTGCGCGCGCTGGTTGCCCAGCAGCTAAACTGGTCGAACAACCTGAGGCTTTGGGCAGTCAACGCCCGTTCCAGGGTTGGTTCCAGGTTCGGGTGCGCCGCTGCCGGGCAGGTGCTTCCGGGCATCCAGGTTGGGAGGCAGTTGGGTGGTGTTAGTGGGCGAGTTAGTTGGCGGTTCAGGCGACGTCATCCTCCAGCTGCCGCCAGCCCAGCCCCCTCCACTTCCATCCTCCAGTCCAGCCAGCCAGCCGTCCGGGCCGCACCCCGAGCTTCGCGCCATCCAGGCACCTCGCTCGCCTTTCCGCCAGGCCATTTAACTTAGTACTGCCACTGCCCGGATAATATGAAAAAAACAAATAAAATAAAAAGTAGCGCAGAAGGGGAGGAAATGATGATACTCTGCACGCGCTGTGGAATCTGCATGCGCCGCGGGTTAAACCTCCCGTGCATTGCCTCGTGCCCGGAGGGTGAGACACAAGCCTCCGCCGTGCCGGGAGAAGCGAAGCGGGCCCTTTCGTTGGCGGGTGTGACGTGCATACAGCACACGGCGCACTGCCTAAGTGCGCGCAGCGCCAGGGATCTTTTCCAGCCACCCGCTCACCCATGCTGCCCCGGGAACCCACACCATTGGAAAGGAAGCGTGCTTGCTAGCAGCAGCAGGTGCAGCAGCAGGCGCCCGCCCTGTTCGCGCCTCGCTTTTCCCACTGTCACGGCCGCTAGCCTGCCCTGTGCCTCTTTGTTCACTTCCAAGGTTGGCCAAGCCCAGCCAGCCTCCCGATATTTGCATGGCTGCGCGAAAAGGGCCCTTGCATGGATGGGCAGCTTTCTCACACACACACGCCTCTCACCCAAGAGCAGAGAAAGAGAGCGCACGCTTCGAGCCGAGAGCCAATCCCTGTTACGATCCCGTATTAGCCTAGGTGGACTCTTTTCGGTTCAACTCATGCACGCCCGAATCTTCCCAGCCCCTCCCCATTATCAATCCCATCCATCCCGTCAGCCACGCACGCACGCACTCACGCAGCTGCAGCTTGTCTGGCCCATCTATGCGCGCGCAGTGCAAGAGTATATCAAGCCCGCCCAACCTCCCACCGGCGCGCGCGCGCATGCACACACTTTCTTTCCCTTTCCCATCTCCTCATCCGTGCATCCCACCGCGCCTCTCTCTCGCCCATTCCATGCCAGTCGGACCACCGACCGTTGCGACGCTTCATTCCTCTCGCCTCGGGTTTTTGACTTTCGGCACAGCCCGCCCTTTAGACTACTAGCCTAACCCACGCGACCACCAGCGCTACAACAGACAATCGCATTGTGTCGAGATCCATCTCCACTGCCCGCCGCCGCCGACGACGAACACCCCGCCGCCGCAGCTGCCCCGCGCGCATCGCCTGCGTGGCCCAACGGCGCCCGCGCCCGTGAACCGGGTTTTGAAGAACAAGTCGAACGAGACCAAAGAGAAAGAAGAAAACAGAGCAGTCATAAAGTCGAACTTTGGTTCGCGACAACGGCGCCATGTTTTTCGCGCTCATCTTTGTGTGCACGCGCATCTCGCAGATTGTGACGCTGGTATGCATCCCTCTCCACCTCGCACGCCTCCCTCCCCCCCATCCCGTCCCAGACTGCGCCGCTGGATAAGGTAGCGAGAGTCAAAGTTCCATTTACTGACCGCCAATGTAGATCCCCATGATGGGCATGCTCGCCTGGTTCATCAACATCTTCGTCTCGCACAACGCCCTCACCCCCGACCCCATCCTCATCCTCTTCATCACCTCGGTCCTGGCCCTGGCGTGGGCCGTCTTCACGCTCTTCTCGTACCACCGCTCCAGCGCCAACGCGCGGCTCGTCTCGCTCGTCGACATGGGCATCTTCGGCACCCTCATCGCGGGCGTCTACCTGCTGCGCGGCATCGCCGACGCCGACTGCTCCGACGACCCCTCGCAGTCGCGCCTGTGGACCAACCGCGTCGCCGTCCCCGCCGTCGTCGACTGGCAGCCCAACAAGCCGTGCGCCATGCTCAAGGCCAGCTGGGCGTTTGCCATTATGAACATCATCTTCTTCTTCACGACCGCCGTGGCGGCGTTTAGCCACGGGGATAGCCTGAGTGCGTATTACGGCGATGAGAGGGTCGTGCGCACGCGGCATACCACGCATTATCACCATGGGGGACGGCATGGGCATAGGCACCATAGCAGGAGTCGCTCGGGCGGGTCGCGCCGCAGCCATAGCCACTCGCGGAGGGTCTACGTATAGATAGACGTGGACGGAGGGTTACGACACGACGGCGGCGGATGAGTGACGATGCAGTGCGTTGCGACGCCAGGGTCTGGTTACGACTCGGTAAAAATAAGGGACTTGGGACGGACGGACGGATGGACGAAAGGCGCTGGATGGGACATATACCTCGTTGATTTTGTTGTTTTTGCTGGCTTGTCTGCTGGGTTTCGTTTGTTTGTTTGGTTGCTTGCCTGCGCATCTCCCTGTGCCCTGTCTCTTATACACATCTAGATGTGTATAAGAGACAGGACATATACCTCGTTGATTTTGTTGTTTTTGCTGGCTTGTCTGCTGGGTTTCGTTTGTTTGTTTGGTTGCTTGCCTGCGCATCTCCCTGTGCCTGTCCTGTCCTCTGGACGGCGCAGCAGGGGCGCCTCTTTCATGCTTTGGCACGGCCGACTTGAGCGTACGCGGGCGCTCGTTATGCATGTACGTATGTGTGTATGTAGATCGAACAGAGACCGCAAAGTCTTGATGATTCATTCATTCATTCATTCAAAGCCCGCCCGTCATGCATATCCCCTTGTGAACACCGTCGTCTTCATCTCCTCGCCTCCTCCTCGCCCACCGTGTACCCCCTCGCCAGCCCGCTCCGCCCCTCCTCCACCACTGTGCTCGCCTCGCCCGTCCCAAAGTCGCTGCCGAGGCCCTGCCACGTCCGCTTCGACCGCAGGTACTCGGCGCCCGGGCTGGCCACTCCGTTGATGCTCGCCAGCTCCCCGGCCGCGCGGCGTGCCAGTGCCGACCCGGTCTTTGGTGGTGCGCCGTCGCCGTCCCCGTCTTTGCCGCTGTCGTCGGTCGCGGCAGTGCTGCTCGCGCTCCGTACCGTCAGCTGCATCGGCCGGCTGTGGCTGACGAGCTTGCCTGTCCGCAGATCGTATTGCGGCGGCAGCGACTCGTCGCCCTCGACGCCATCCTCGGTATCCTCCACCCCCTCGCCATCTGCCGCCTGGCCATCCTCCGCCTGACCATCTCCCGCCTCCCGCTCTTGCGTTTCGGCCTTCTCGGAGGCCATATCGTCCCGCAGCTTCTCGATGCCCGCCCACCACTCGCCGCCCCACGTCCGCTCCTCCTCGCTCATCAGCGCCACCTCCATCTCAAACGGCGTCACCACCGGCCGCCAGTACCCGGCGTCCTCCTCCACCAGCCCGCTCTCCCAGCACCCAATGACGACCCAGCCCTCAATCTCGGCAAAGTTGGCCAGCTTGGCCGGGTTGAGCTTGCCCACCACCACCGTGTAGCTCTTTTTGCCCGCGCGCGCAATCTTGGCCCGCAAGAGGTCCACCGAGGAGAGGTAGTTGGACACGGAGAGCGTGTTGACGAGGATGCCCACGACGCCGGCCGAGGCTAGCGACAGGACGCGCGCGAACCGCCGTCGGAGCAGACCCATGGTCCGCAGCGTCGGGTTGTCGACGGAGGGCGACGCCGATGTGGAGAGGACGTGGAGCGAGGCGAAGCGAGACTGCAGAGCGAGGAGCAGCGCTGCAGGAGGGTCGGCGATGTGGAACAGGGCATGTTGTCGTATTGAATCGTCGTCGAGCTCGGGCCTGCATATCCTGCGGTTGGGAATCACGGCCGCGGGATCGCGCACCACCTCTGTCGCGAGGACGTTGACGTAGCCCCACCCGCGCAGCTCCTCCACCAGGCTCTCGACGTGGTCCTGGTACGTCAGGTCCGCCATGACGACCACCTTGGCTGTTGTGTCAGGAAACTCGGCCGCGAACCGGTCCAGCGCCACGGCGTGGTCCAGCGGATGCGACGTGTAGACGTACACGACGGGCAGGCGACTCGTCGGGCTGAGGCACGTACGGCCATAGTGCACCACGACGTCGGCGTCGGCATGCTCGGCGGCCACCTCGTCGACGCAGCACGCGCTGTAGCTCGTGTCGGCGAGGATGTGTATCCGCGGCGCGGGCGCTTCCGCCGACTCTTGCGTCCGCTGGGCGACGAGCTCGCGGCCCAAGGCCTCGACGACGCGCGGCGCATCAACGAGCATGTGGTCGGGGAACTGTAAAGCGACTGTCCTCCATCCTCCCCGGGCAATCTCTCCGGCCGTGCGGGGGATCTCGTAGGTCGAGCGGAGGGCGTCGTCGGAGAGGGTCGACGTGAGGACGGCGTCGGCGGCCGGCACGTCGAGGATGTGGTCGTCGGGCGTGGACAGCACGGGCGGCGCGGCGAGGTCCGCCATGGTCGCGATTCTCGCCTTCAGAGAGGCTTGGCGCGGAGAGTCGTGTGCGGGTGCTGCGCGTGCGGTGTCGTCGCGGGCGTCGTAGGATTCGAAGAGCGACTGGATTGATGCCGAACAAAAAAGTCGAGCCATGGCCTCCGCCGATGGAATTTTGTGGAGGGGTCGCCCGCCCTGTGCAAATGTGGGGTCCAGGAAAAGTTGACACAGGCCGGGGCGGTGCAAATTTACCCGCCTTGGAAATTGGCAGCGTCGGATTGGCTGTCGGCACCTGCCCACGACCCAAATCTTCCCAACACTCTCTACGCTACCCTACGCTGCTTGATTGTTTCCAGGCTTCAGGTCGACGTTGGTCGCAGCGCATCTTTTATTCTTCTCCTTGACTAGTTTTGTCCTTGATGCCATACAGTGGATTTCGTGCTTGTAAGATTGGCCCCAGGGCGTACATGATGCTACCAAGCTTGCTGCGTGGGCGGACAGCCGGCGTCTCGGACATCGTGTAAGACGCCCAGGTCAGCAGAAACTGATAGCACACAACGGTCCTGGTGCGGCGCAACTGTACCCCAGAATTGTCACCCAAACATCGTACTTCTGTAACCCGTTAAAAGCTCCGAATGATACGTTGAATTTTTGTGCCACAGTACCTTGATATTTCGAGATACGACCACGTTTACATAAAAACATCCCGTTCATGTATTCCACGGACCAGGTATAACATCACATCTCTCCGACGCGCCTCCACAAGCCCGAGGACACCCATCCACCTCCCCCCTACTTCTTACACTTGTTGACAATCTTCTTAATCAGCCCCGTGTCCTTGGCAACTATCTCCCCCATCTTGCCCAGCGTCCCCGCGCCCGAAATCTCCGCCTCCAGCTTGCCCATCTTGCCAAACGAGGCGGGCGTGCGCGGCAGCGGCGCCGCGCCCAGCAGCATCCCAAACATGGCCATGGGCGCGCTCTCGGGGTTGTCCACCACCTCGTAGAGCGTCAGCGCGCCGTTGGCAATCTCGCCCGCAAACGCAATCATGCGGCCCAGCGTCGCCATGCCCGCCAGCGCGGCGCTGCCCTCGCCCACGAAGGGCACCACGGCCAGCACGGCGCTCACAATCGTGATGATGAGGTTCTTCTGCTCCTCCTTCTTCTCCGTCTCGCCAATCTTCTTGACCTCGCGCATCGAGTCGATGGCCTGCTTGATCATCGCCACGGGGATGCCCAGAACCTGCACCGCGTCGTTGGCCGGCCCGTCCCACTGCCCCAGCATCATGTCCATCCACGTCGCGTCGATCTTGTCCTTGAGCTCGTCCATGTTGGTGCCCGCCTCCGTCACAATGTCCTTGGGGTTCGGCGGCTCGACCTTGTCCGCCTTGAGCGGGTAGCCGTGGTACACCTTGCGCACCTTTTCGCACCCGTCCTGCTGCGAGTCGGGCGTGCAGTGCGACTCCTCCTTGACCTCGCCGAACTTGACCCAGTCGGCCACGATGCCGTGCCCGTCCGCCAGGTCCTTGTAGAAGCCCTTGTCGTCGCGCAGCGTGTAGTACAGGTCGAACATGGTCTCGTCGCGCAGCGCCTTGCCCACCTCGGCGCACGTGTGCGTCTTGTTGTTGTCGTACCGCCCCGACGAGCAGTCAAAGTACTTGCTCCCGCCCTTGGCCATGAAGTCGTCCAGCGCCACGGGGATCAGGTTCTTGATGTACTTGACGTAGTACCCGAACAGCTCGTCGTAGCCGTTGTTGACGTCCTTGTAGTCGGCGAGCGCGGCGTCGAGGTTCTTGGACAGCGTCGCCGTCGCGTAGATGCCCATGCAGTAGTTGGAGTGGTCCGTCTTGGCCAGGTCGTCGAGCGAGTCAAACGTGAGCGAAAAGTCGCACGCCGGCTCCGCGTCGTCGTCGTCTTCGTCCCAGCTGCCCTCGTCCGGGTCGTCGTTGCCCGGCCCGTTCGAGTTCCAGTTGAGGTCGGCCGCCCACTCCACCGTGCCCACCCACTTCTCGTTGTTGAACTTGAACAGCCGCTCGAGGAAGTTGTTGTTGTTGAGCCAGGATACCCACTGCTTGTCGTTGAAGATGACGACATCGCCCTCTTTGGAGTCAATCTGCTTCACCTTGAGGCCGCTCTCGCCGTTATCCGCCTTGGCGATGAGCTGTCGTATCTCCCAGTTGGAAATGTATCCCCGCGTGTCGGTGCACTGGCCCGGCCAGGCGCCAGACTTAGGGCCGGTGAAAGTGCATTCTGGCCCAGTGCAGCCCGCTTTCGTCATCTCAAAGGAGCGCCCGTAGCGTGCTAGACCTACGGCAATCTTGTTCGTCGGAACGCCTGCCTTCGTGATCATGGCGAGCGCGTAATTAGTCTCCGTCATGTTGACGTGCGAGCGGAGGCAGTTGCCGTTAGGGCATCCCTCGTTGACAAACTTATTGCCGTAGTCCCACTGTCCGTGGAGGTCGTAGGTCATGTACACAATGTAGTCGACAATCTCGCCAATGTCCTTGATCGGGAACCCCTTGAGATACCAATAGGACGCGGGCGCGGCGATGGAGACCGACTTATCCTTGGCCAGCCCCTTACGGACGAGCTTGAGAAAGTCAAGATAGCGCTTCCCGTCACCAGGGTCACCCGGCGGGATACCCGGAATGTCTGGAGCGCCTGGATACTCCCAGTCAAAGTCCAGCCCATCGAGGTTATACTTTTTCGCAAATTCAACCACATTGTTGGCAAACAGCTGCCTCTGCGCATCCGTCACGCCAACCCGAAAGATAGGCGCCGTGTCGGCCTCTGTGGAAAACGACCAGCCGCCAAACGAGACAATGCGGCGCTTCTTCTTGAGCGCCACAAACTCGTCAAACATCTTCTTGTACTGCCCCACGTCCACCTTGTAGTCGTTGGTGATGTTGGCAAACGCATAGTGCACGTCCGTGTAGTACTCGGGGATGTTGGACGGCGACATCCACAGGCACTTGCGGTTGTGGTTCCACGCCTCAAAGTAGGCAATCTGCCGTGCCACCGCCGGCCCCGTCTTGTTGTTGGTGATGTCGGTGCCGCAGTGCGAGACGCACCCGTTGCTCCCCGGCTTGGCCGTGCCGGGCGCATGCGTGTCGGCCGGCGACGGCGTGCAAAACTCGGGCGTGATGCCGCACTGGCCCCAAACGTTGCAACACGCGTTCAACGGGCAAGGGTTCAGGTCCGCCAGCTTCGTCCCCTTGGGCGGCTTCTTGGTGCCGGGCTTCTGTGGCCCGCACACCGCGTTGGGCACCTCCGCCGGCATGGGAGGGTCGCCCTTGCTGAGACAGATCTTCTGCCCGACCATGAGGCGCTTGCATCCCGCCCAGCCCCAGGTGTTGCCGTTGACGCTCTCGATGCGCTTCACGTCGGTGCTGTGTGCTTTCGCCACCGCCGCGCAGGTGTCGTCCTTCTTGATCTGATACACGGCGCAGGATCCGTCCGCGCCGGGCTTTGGCGAAAAATCGGGCAGCGTGCCTGCTGAGCAGCAGACGTACTGGTCACGCGCGAGCGTGTCGCAGAACTTGGGCGTCGGGTTGTACTTGGACAGGTCCTTTTCACTGATGCCGCACCGCTTGGCCAGCGCCCAGCAGCCGTCGCCGGCTTTCACTTGCGTGTACTTGCACGTCGCGCGGGCTTCCAGGGAGCGTCCGTCGCCAGTGGGCGCGACGGATATATCTGCCAGTGGGATCGTGGACACGCCGATGTCTTTCCATGTTGTTTGCGAATCGAAGCCCGTCAGGCACGTTGCGTTACTCCACGTCGCGAGACTCTTCTGCACAGCGGCAAGGTCTCCCGTCGCGTCGGCCACAACGCCAAACATGGTTGGGCCAAAGGAGGTGCACAGCTGGGCGGCGGACCTCGCGCCTGTGCCTCTCGACTGCTCGCCCAACTTGGAGACCAGGCTGGCGGCGCTGGACTTGCTCACCGTGGACCCGATATAAGTGCCCACGATGGTCTTGCCCGAGCGGGCAAACAGCACTTCCTCGCCGCACTCCTTGCTGTCGCTGAGAAACCCGCTAAGGTGGGCGATGCTTGCTGCGATGTCTTCTGCCGCACCGGCTGGTGCCTTGCCCCAGTGCGCAAGCTGCACAGCCTGCTTCTTCTCGACGGCTTTGCCGCATTTCGAAGCCAGCGCCTTTGCGCCAGATCCAGCTTCATCGCTGTGGTTGAAGGAGAGTCTCTGACGTGCGACGAGAGCGCGATCCGCAAGTCTCTTGGAGGAGCCAGAAGTAGAGCTTCCGGCTGAGCAAGCGCGAATCAGGATGCTTGTGTCCGGGTCGTTCACAGGATTGTGAATGTTGAGGTCAAAGAGCGTAGTCTCATCGCAATATGACAGGCGTTGCGCGTCGTGGTAGTGAGTCCAGTTGGCCGGGTCTGGGCCCGAGATTGAGCATGGGAGCGGGCATGGAGAGAGGGCAGAGTAAAAGGTCGATGCCAGTGAAGGGCTCACCAAGGCAGCCAAGGCAAATGCCTGCACGATGGCTGCCATGGTCGCGGCAGACGGCTGCGCAATGGCAAAGACCAAGTTGAAAGGTTGGTCCTGGTGCTAAATCGCCTTTCGCCTATGTGAGAATGTAAAAAAAGAGCGACGTGGGCGACGGACAAGTGTCGATGGAAGCGGCTTCAGCCCGAGGCCATATACAAGGAGCGCAACTGTGACATTCGCGCGAAACCTCGGTCGGTCTGTACATTCATGGACAGCACCAGATCGGGTTGTACGCCGCGCTCTCTGCCATGCGTGAGAACGTACGACGATCAGGTCGGGGACTTTTGGCGCCCTTGGAACGGAGAAGGCCAATAACCGACCTGACTGGCCCATGTGAAGTCGTAGCATGGATCGCGAGTCCAGACCCGGGCATAACTTGGCTGTAAGCCGACGACGTCCGGAAGGCCCTATACAACATGGCTTCTGAAGGGCCGTCTCTCCGATCCCTGCAGCTCACTATTATCTCACCGTCCCATCCTCGAGCTATTGCCGATCCATAATCGCTCTCTGCATTTCCGCGTACTCGGCATCGAAGCGGACTAGAACGGCGCAGAAACGGTCGCAAACCCCAAACTGGAAGTCGTGTCTATAGTGACTGGGATAAAGGTGAGCGCCAGCCCATTAAAACTGCGTCAGTAGTCCCGGCCCACGAAATTATTCGGCCCCCATGCCCGTCCAAAAAAGTCCCTGACTACGCCCGAACCAGCGCGAAGCATCAATCTTTCGCGCCGCCTGCCGGGGTGTCAGGACCCTTCAAGATCCATTCCTCTGCGCAACCGAAATCTCCATGTTACATTGCAGGCGTCGCCTCGTCGAACTTTGTACAATTGCATCGTCTCATTGGTCTGGTGGTTTGCGTTTCTTGCAAGCATATGTTTTTGGTGCTGACGCGCTGCTCGAATGCGGTCCGACTTGCCGCTCGGCACTTCTGCGCGTTCCTGGCTAGTTTTCAGCTCCATGCTGGTCCGGTCGCGAATCATGCGTCTTAGGCGGACTGCAGGGACTTATGGCGTCTGAACGGTCGGCCAAATGCTGATATCAGATTGTCATGATTATCCATGCCAATTGCAAGAGTGCCTGTCACATGCTGAGCATGATTGAAGATCCAGGAGTGTCTAGATTGGTCTCATGGCCCGCTACGACGATGCGTGTAAAGCATCCCATTGTGTGCCTTCCAGGGAGACACTTGATCCCGCTGGGTCCTCCTCGAGCCCGCAATCTTGCCATTCAGATCGCTTTGCTATTTGCTATTGCGTCGTGCTCTTGACGCTCTGCAAGACGACCGTATCTTGACTCCATCTCTTTCCAACAAGGTCGCCCTCGGTCCATTATGAAGCTCTTGTCGGTCCTGCTGCTGGCCATGGCCGCGGCCGTGGAAGCATCCAAGCTCGCCGGCCCGTACCAGACAGCCTTCTTTTACTTTGCCTACCGCATGGAAGTCTCGCTCAAGGGCCACGGCAAGACGGAGATTGCGCCCGGGTGCAAGACCAACGGCGGAGTCTGCAACATTGACGACTTCGTCAAGCACATCCAGGCGCATGTGCCCAACCGACCACCCTTCACGGGGACCTTGGGCCTGGGCGACAAGCCAAGCGTGAAGGAGGTCGTCGACGCGCTCCAAAAGGCCAACTACTCGCCCGACCTGAACCAGGCCAACCTGCTGAAGAGCTGGCCGCCCAACACGCCGGGCACATTCGACAAGGTCTGGACGAGGGTCAGCGCCGTGGTGCAGGAATCGCGCGAGGAGCTGCAGAAAAAGGGCCTCGACCCGGACAACGGCGACGACGACATGAAGAAGCTCAAGGAGTGCATTCAGGGCGTCATCGACGGGCGGCGCGAGGAGCAGGCGGGTAACATGCTCAAGTTCTTCAAGGCCGAGGCCGTCAAGCGGCTCAAGGTCCAGGAGTCGGACGTGCCCACGATCAAGGAGACGGGCAAGAACTACGACAAGATTGACACGGGCAAGCTCGTCACGAACCTCAAGGCGGCGGGCAACCTGCCGGTCAAGAAGGAGGCGTTCATCACGGATTTCGTCAAGGACTACAATAGCGGCAAGTTTGACAAGACGGGTGCCAAGGGGGCGTCGGGCCACTTCAAGACGATTGTCAAGGCAAAGGACATTGGCAATGATCTCGGCACAAAGCTGGCCGCGCTGACGCCGTGCACGACATGATGGCGGGTCTTTGTTGTCGAGAGAAGATGGGGTCTGGTGCACCGTGTAGATACGATCATGTTGCAGGGAGGCAGGGAGGGCGCTCTATTCCATATAAAGTGAACGAATGATTGCGTGATGCAGTTAGTAAAGTGTAAGCTGTGTGAGACCGTAAGATGAGTTGGTGCGGATTTTGCCAGCTTATGTGACAGACCTCTTCACAAGTTCACATTGCCGTCTCGCGCTCACATGCATCCTTGGCGAGCGCTGGTGTGTTGCCAGCGCGAGAGGGTTGGCAGCTGGAGCCTGTAAGGCTGTACCTGACTAGCCTACAGCGGTCCATCCACTTGGCCCACTCCTTCCAGCAGCTCAGATAACTACAGGGCGCACCTTCTCACCTTTATCCCGTCGCAATCCCAGGCCTAGACACCATCCGGCCACGCCCCCTTTTCCTCTTTGGCCCATACAGCGACTTTTTACAACTGTGAAAAATCCTCAATTTATTCGTGTCGTTCATACGTGGCGATCGGTCAAGCAATGGCAACCTTCCCTCAGTTCTCGGCCCTGCCTCCTGAGCTCCGCCGGCTCATCTGGCGCCACTGCCTGCCACGCCGCGTCGCCGAGGTCGACATTCCACGCATCGGCAACGAACCTATGGGTATCTTCTATGGCGATGGCAGCAAGGAATGCTTGTTGCGCGAGACCTCCCGTCGCAATGCGGCGCCGCCGACTGTATCTCGGGTTTGCCGCGAATCTCGAGAGGTCGCCCTAGAAGCCGGCCACTTTTTGCACTACGGCGCGTTTCAAGGCATGGAGAACATTTGGGTCCAGCCCGCTCGCGATGTGTTGCACCTCAACTGGGAGCGGGAATGGTGCATCGCCGACGGCGATATGGCGGGCGCCGAGAGCGCCCTCCCGTACTTTTTCTCCAGAGCCGCAAAAGAGAACATGATCCCCTCCGTTTGCGCCGATCTATTCCTTCCGTTCGACATCAACAGGGATGCGAGTTGCTCAGACAACTTTTCGGATGAAGACCCAGACGATGCTAGGTGGTTTGACCCAGACTCCGTCGATGAGGTCTTGTTGGTCGAAAACGCGCCAAAGATCGTCTTAGTCGCCGTTGTATTGATGCTGTTGCACAGCACCGAGACAGAAGCCATCGACTCGGGGCTCTTTGGGCTGTGTGGCGAGGAGCGCATTCAAATGATTGACTTCGATGACGCCCCGAAGGTCTCCGCTTTCTTCGAATTCTGGAAAGAGACCGCCAACAGCCAGCGGGAGACGTCGTCCGCCACGTATTTCCGAGACATGCGCGACAGTGACGAGTTCCAGAAAAAATGTCAAGATTGGGTGAAAAGAGCCAAAATTCATCTGTTCGGTCATCTCTGGTTCCAGGCTCGATCCCTCGGGTTTGCAGGCATTGACGACCCAGACAACATCTGGGTGCCGGCAGTCACTGGTGACATGGTGCCGTGGAATCCGACAAATCGACCCAACTTGGATCACCCATGGGCGATACAACAGTGGGCTCGGCTTCCAAGACTTGTCCCAAAGGTCGTATTCATACAGTGTTCCGAGAGTTGTTAGGAACAAGGGTCACACGACTACGGCAGCATATCCTGGAAAGGCAGTGTGCTCCAGGCTTCCTCATGTCACATCGACCCGTAGACAAAGCGGCTCGACCGGGGTCGTCGACACTCACGCGCGTAGACGCCTGATTCAAACTTCTTAGAAGATGCAAGGGCCGACAGATCACAAATGCTTTGGTGGCTTGGACCTGTATTCACTCCATCGAAACATCTCGAAACATCGGCGCCTGATGTGCGACCTAGAGGGCAGTACAAGAAGGAACTTGGAAGACTCACGGCATAGAATGATCTCATCAGACGGCGCATCAGATATTGAGTTTCATAGGCTGGAATCAGTCCTAGCAGCAGCCTTCGGAACACAAATAATTCACCCGGCTCTTAAGGAGTACGATTTTCCGGCCTATGTGCAGTGTTCATCCAGCCCAGCGCTTCATATGTACGAAACGATGACATGGATCCAGCAGATCTCCACAGACAGCCGGAGCCGCTTCAAAACGATGAAGCAAGCAACGCCCTACCAGCACACCGGCGTATGCCGCCAAGGGTCCCATACGCAGCGCCTCCCCGTCTTCGTACACTACATTTGGCTCCCTATCAGCAGGACTACCTCAGGTAGGAGGGCTTCATGAGCGGGCAGAATCCTTACTGGCGTGTCGCATTTCGCGGGCATGGGCAGGTGCCACAAGGTCACCGGCCTGATCTCGTTGTCCATGGTGAAATGGCACGTTTGTTCGGGGTACCTGCAGAGCTGCTGCGCGTCAGTTCGTGTACGATAGACGCGCCGATGTCCTTCGATGTTTGTTTCCGCGTCAGTGAGTCCTTCCACTTACGCCCCAGCCGAGCAGCTTCTCGTCATAAGGCTCCTTGGAGGTGCCAGGAGCAGTCCCATCTCCCTGCTTAGTTTGGCCGGTCGTGGCTGCGGTGGAAGCGCCGGGCCGGTTGTTCACTGCCACGGCGGTCGCGCTAAGGGCAAGCGCAACGAAAGTGCGAGGATTCATCGTCAGCCCTAGGAGTCAACTGGTCTGGTGACTCGGTATCCAGAGGGACTGGAAGCACGCAATTTGAGGGAGAACTTCTAAGCATTTATACACGAAGCCATTTATAGACGGGATTACGAGATAGAGTAGTCCCGAGTTACGTGTCACGGCTATGACAAACGCTCTGTAGTAGACTGGGAGCTTGACACACCGTGCACACAACGTACCGGGCGACACATTCTTTATACGCATCATCACTGAGTCGGCCTCAGCCTCGACTCTAGCTGTTCTGAAAACATAATGGCACTGATAAGGCGCAGATACTGACCCATCTCATCAGCGCTACGGCTTCCGAGAGAGGTCCGTGGGCTCAGAAGAGATTTTCCACGGTCTGGTCAGGGTGCGTAAACCTCATATGCTACAAGTCTGTTGGTGCCACAGTCAGTCATATACGGCTTCTGATCACACGCACAAGACGCCAGCCATGGTGGAGTACGGAAAGATAAATATGCCCTTTGAATGCGAGCCAAAGACTCAAGCCCGTGGAGCGACATTTGCTGAAGCCAAATCTGCTGGCAGCTTGGGCGGTGGGCTGTCACACAGGCCGAGTCATGATCCGTTCACGTTCACCGAAACGCGAACGCGCACACGGCGCGTCATCCCATCCATCCGTGACCGCGAAAGGCGGTTACCATATGCACCAAAGTTGAAGGACCAGGGCGCCCATTCCCAACATGCGATGCCCAAGCTCGCCCAAGACGCCCGATTTCTGCCAGACGCCCAACACGCAGAGCCGGGGTGTTCCCAAACAGATCACCACACCGCGCAGTGATGGAAATGGCGATGTGATGAGGGCAGTGAAGTTGGCGGCCGTGTGATGTGAATACCTGGTGTAACGGGCACCTCCCAGTCGGGCGCGACGCTGCCTGATTTGGCCCCTTGCATCTCCGCCCCATTTGTGTAACATGAAGAAACTTCTTCGCTGCCGGTCGACATGGGCGGCCTCTTCATTGCCTCATCTTTCTCGCATCGTCGTCGCCGTGCGGTAGACAGCATCCATTGACATCGAATGGCCATGGCACCAGACCGGCATCTCGAAATCATCAATCCGTCTCACGGCGAGGGCCCCAAGGCCGCTTTTGGTTCATTCCTGAAGCTCCCCGTTGAGCTCCAACTTGCCATTTGGAACCTAGCGCTAAAACGAAATCGACTTCTGGAGATTGAGATACGCAGCTTGGCCGACTTGGCCTCTGAAGATGAAGAAGGCTCCCCGCCATGCACCGCCGCTCGCAAGTCCTACGAGATGTCCAGCTTCACGGGTTATGGCGTCGTCATTCGGGGCGTTCAGCTGAACAGCGTGCTGTTCTCTGTGAGCCATGAGGTTCGGCGACTAGCGCTCGATTTTTACCGAGTTCATCTCCCGTGCCTGGCTCCGGCACATAACGAATACTCGCGGGAACCCCCGGTCCAGAAGCTGCTGTATTTCAATCCAGAGCATGACTATGTACGACCGTACTCGAACACGTACGACGCGCCGCTCGTTATGGACTTTATTCACGATCTCAAAGCCCATGACCCCCGACATGTTGGATTGGTCAATATGGGCGTGGGTTCGTTCGATCTGGGCCACTATCATATGTTGGCAGATGAGGACGACGCACATCGAAAGGCCGTTTTAGCCGACACTATCTCGCAACTACGGGAGGTGATCTGGATGGCCGACTCTGATTATGGACGCGGCATCAACGGCCCGATGGATGACCTTCAGGGGTTCTCCGACGTGAACGGCGTTGGTGTCCGCTTCAACCATTCCATGCCCATCAAGCCACTCAACGTCGCATTCGACCTGCTGGACAAGGACCCTCGACCAATCGGACCCGAGCTAGAGTTTGTAGCAACATGCTCGGGCAACCCACGGAGATTCCACATCCCGTGGGAAGACCTGATGCGCAGGTGCAGAATCAACGGACCGAATGACAACCAACGTGAGCCGAGAACGCGAATACTCTTTTCGTATACCCCGTGGCCGTACGGGGAGCAAATCGTCGACAGTGAATCGGCAAGGCGATTCGTCAAGAAGGAGGAGGAGAGATGGCTGGACATGCAACGGAGTTGGGACTCGTCGGTCACCCAGCACGCCTCCAAGGTGCCCATTGAAGGGCCGGAAGAGCTTGCTCGGGCCACGAGACCAGCTATAGGGTTCTGGCTGTTTCCTGCTGAAGCCCTTGGTCCAATCGACGGTAACATGTTGGACATGAAGGTTGTATTTGACTTGAGGGAGCATTGGCCACAACTGGCATTGTCAGAGCTTTCATAGCCCTAACCATTGGATAGAAAACCTTGTTTTCATTTGCTCATGGGGACGACGAGAAGCGTCAAGTACCTGCATGCATACTACTCGTGTGGAGACTGGACTTAATTGTCGAGAACTTTGGCCAAACACGACCGCATCCGGTGATTTCCAGCAGTAGAGAAGGGACGCTTTATTAGGAACAGTGAAGCAACCGTAGAGCAGGCCTCAAACGACCGTTAGTTTCCCCTGGCACGAGGCTAATAGAGCAAACAATGCCGCACACACAGGTGATGCGCCAAAAGCTTTGACGGGATTGTTTCCACCATCAGTATATACAAACATATCGTCCCATTTCATGCGGAATTCTTCACCTGCGACTTCGATTGTCCTGCTTGTGAAGCGATGTCTGAAGCTGCGCGTGATTTATCAATCCACATGTGCCGTTTCCGCGAAACCCGGAAGCAACCAGGTTAAGCAAGACAATGCCGTATTTCTCTTTGTCTCAAGCATGGCAACGTTGTCGAAGGCAAAACGGCGAAAACATGTGCCAATTTGGATACTCAACAGTGATGCACGGCCACCATTAACTGCCCTGGAGAGATTTGTATAAGATGCCACTGCCACTGGCCTACCGAATTAGCACCAAGACGATAATCATTAAGAGCTACGACTTCTCAGTTAAGATTACTCCAGTTAAAATTTTTCACCAAAGCTCAACGTGGTGCATCATGGCTTCCAGTAATGAGGTCAAACCGGGAGAGTTCAGAGGCCGTAGCGCCGGTCAGGAACGTCTCGAAACCCGCGATTTGGGCACCTGCGCGGGTGTCGTCGTCACCGGTGAACCACATAATGGCGGCGAGACGCGGTTCCTGCTCCACCTGAGCCTGGAACAGCAGCAGTCCGAAATGAGCAAGGTGTGGTCTGAATTTGTCGAGGCAGTAGAGAAGTCGGGCATGAGGCACATGAAGGGATACATGTTCACCGTGGATACCAATCTGAACAATGATCCCAACCTCATGCACAATGCCTACATGATGACTGAGGCTCACTTGCTCGAAAAGGAATACGAGCACATCGAGGGCGAGCTTCAGCGCCTCGTCGGCCGTGGCACGGTCGTCCACGAGACACATCCCTTTAATAGGGTAGGTCATATGGAGGTTGACGAGAACAATGTGGTCCGAGTCGACGGCCGGCGCATCTCGGAGTGAGAGTTGAGATGGCGGCCCCGGCCTCTACCGAGTGAGCCTTTCGTGATGGAGTAGACTTTGCACGCTGTGGGGGTGTTGCCCTCTTACGCAGGTGGGAAATATTGTGAATAGTCTTATTCTGCAACAGTTTTGAAGCCGCCGCACCGAATTGCATGTGGTCAATGTTGCCAGCGAGTGTTAGTCTGTAGCAGCAAAGTCTTGGTCTAGAATGGCGGGTGCCTCTGGGACTGGAGTCTGTATGGCGGCCGGAAGCAAATTATACCAGAGTCAACAGCAACTCATGGCCCTTGCTGTCGCGATCACTAGGAAGGGCGACGCTGCGAAAAGCTGCCTGATCCAGCGGTACCGGCACAGCGGCTCTTTCTTGACAGGTTCGATTTCCCCCCTTCTATACTGTATAGCGCGTGAGCTCCTGTGTGTATGCATCATTGAACTGCCTCGCCGTGATATGACGACTCAGTGCGCTGGGTTGGGGAAAGCCAAGTCCAACCCGGGTCATGTTAGTCTCACGGCACGGGACGGCACAGGGCTCATGCACGGATACGCCAGACGCTCGGCGGGAAGCCGGGCAGGCCGGGAGGCTCGAGCGCCATGTGTCCATCCCCTCGTCCAGAGCAATTCTTCATGCCATGTTGAGTCAATCAGTGCCCAGTCTAGTGACTTGCGACGCGACCATTGACATAGTTGGAGCTGCAATCGCCATGCGGACACAGGGTTTTCTCACCGCGTAATGGACCATGACGAAGCTTGGTTTATTGACTGTACCTGCAATCTGTAAAGTTAGTTCTCCTGCCGCAGAGCCGATGGGTTGCGGAGCTTGGGGTAAGTGGCTGCTCCCCGCAAGTTTAATAGCGAAGCTTCGACGCCACAGGGTCGTCCAACCGACAAACTCTCTGCTTGTAGCTTCCAGCACGACCGCATGGAACCTCATTTTCTTCTTGCGCATTCTGTCGAAAAAAAGCCTCTGCGACCAATCATGAATTCGGCACCAGTTAAGTCGCCTCGACAGGAAGGTTAACATGTAATGAAGCGCCATGATTCGGCCCTTTAGCACAGCACGGGCTCTCCATGGCCAGGACTCCATGTCAATAACTCACCCACGGGCGGGCCGGCGGCGCTCTGTCCCAAAAAAGGAGCAGCCACTCGCCGGGCTCGGATCATCCCCTCGATGATCCCCCTCCCCTCCATCTCAGGAACGGGCAGATGGCATCCTGACACGGCCATTGGCTCCCGCGCCCACGCCTCGCCAATCTGCCCATCTCCCGTGTGCCTGAACGCCCCCGAGGCCCCCCTGATCCTGGCGCGGCCAACCGGTGACCAACAAGAGGCCAAGACGCGGGCCACCTGCCCTCGGCGGCGAAAGCGTGGCCCTGACCCTGATCACACGGCGCCATCACCAGGCGGGAGCGACAATGTCGACGCTCCATGTCGGCACGTTGGAGCCGTTCGTAGCCCTTATGCGCAGCAGCGGCGCTCGCTCGGCCGACAATGTGATTGTGATGCAGCTGCGGGCGCCTGACTGCGACGCTGCCGGTCGCTGGTGTGCGGCGGCGCCGAGAGTTGACTCGCTCGCTGCTTTTGCTTTTTGCAACGTGCCTGAGCGCAACAATGCGAGCGGCGCCTCGGTGGGGTTTTCCAGAAGCGGGCGATCCGCGCAGGATGCGGCCCCTAACCTCGGAGCAATGTTGGCGCTGCTGCTCCCTTGACGACGATCCTCGATGGCGCAAACTAAAGATTGCCCGCTCTTCTTCTTGTCTCTGTTTCCTTCCTTCGTGTCTTAAATAGAGTCCTCCCGCCGGTCGCGGCCGGTCGCCTGGCGCAGTGTTTAATTGTCGTCCGCCCCCCCCGGCGAAGGTTAAGTTTCACGACCGCCAAAGCGTAGTGACCCTTTTGCCTCCGTCACGAGAACTCACCCGTCCCACGCGTCGTAGAGCGCGTGTCATGGCCGACCATTATACTTCCTCTTGAGAAAAACCTTGGGATCTGCCAGATCAGTAACAGCGTCTTGTAATTCCTTAAAAGGCCGCCTTCCCCCCCCTGCTTTCGCCTTGCTGTCTTCTCACACCTGCACTCGACTGGACCGTCACCTTCCCGACTTCGACCCCGACAGCCCCTTCGATCACTTACACGCCAACTCTAAACTCGTCACGCTACGCGGCCATCACTGGACCGCCCCCCTTTAACCTCTACTACAGACACCAGTCTTCACGACAACAAACACGAACCTGTAACCGGAACGCGTCGCCATGAAGACCGGTTCACTCTTTGTCAAGGCCGCCGTCATGGCCACCCTGTCCCTGGGCCACTGCCAGTCCTACGCGCCCGTCTACCCGCGCGACACCGCCGCGACCGCTGTGCGCCCCGTCCTCGACGCGGCCACGTACAACTACACCGTCTTCGAAGGCGGTGTCTTCCGCGTCCTGTCCGAGCAGGCCGCGCAGGGACTCTGCGACGACCACGACACGGACGCCAACCCCCCGGACCCGCTCCCGCCGCGCTCGACGGAGCTCGACAAGATGTGGCAGCCGTCGATGGACTTCGACACCGACAGCTGCTACAACGTGCCCGCCATCGGACCCAACGGGCACATCGACCGTGGCCGCTCGCGCCACGAGTCCAACACCGAGGGCTGCCGCGACGAGTACGACCTGGACCACTCCAACGTCTACAGTCGCCAGCGCTGCAACAACGGCTGGTGCGCCTACCTGTACGACTACTTCTTCGAGAAGGACATCGGTGACCGCATCTGCATCGGCCACCAGTACGACTGGGAGCACGTGGTCGTGTGGACCAAGGACGGCAAGCCGCGCTTCGGCGCCGTGAGCCAGCATGGTGGCTGGGACGCCCGCCTGTGGCAGGACATCCCCCTCGACGGGGAGACGCACGTCAAGGCCGTGTACAACAAGGACGGGCTCATCGGCACGCATTACATGCGCTGGAGCAAGGGCGCCACCGACGAGCCTCCCGAGAACCACAAGGGCGTCTGGTGGCGCAGCGACCTCATCTCGTGGAACGGCTTCCCGGACCAGGAGCTGCGCGACAACCTCACCGCGTACGACTTTGGTGACGCGACCATGGCCATCCGCGACGACCAGTTCGCCTGGCAGCTCGAGCGCTCCGTGTCCGGCATCAAGAGCAAGCTGGGCGACTTTGTCTTTGACTTTAACAAGGACGACGGATCGCCTGGCGTGCCGGCCACGTCCTCATAGGAGAGCGTCGTGATGAGAGTAGGGGGCGTATTTGGAGTTTTTCATCGGTATGAGAGCATCGTCGTGATTATTGTTGTGCACGAGAACGTTGCTGACTGCTGTACAGAGATTGGATATACGGGTATGGTCTTGGCTGTTGGCATGGACGGGAGAGGATATGGACGGGGGTCGAGTTGGTTGGGAGGTGGCATGGAGAGCGGGCTGGAGGATCGGGACAGCATTTGGTATTCGCGTGGTGGAGGAGGAGATGACAGGTTGCATGGGAAGCATTGCATATACCCCTTGGGAAGGACGAGCATTGTTTGGACTGCGGCATACCGGAGCATGGCGTTGGATTCTTTCGGGTCGGATTGGGCAGGGCGAAACCTCGCGGTGGATGCCTACTTGCAACTCGCCCAAATCCCCAAAACAGGCGTTTTTTGCAGTTCACATCATTCGCTATCACTTCATGTGCCGTTGCGTGCCGTACTGATGTTGGGATTTTTGACTGCTGGGCGAGTTGGTGGCGGCGCGTGGTATGAGAGAGAGTTTGAGGCCAAAAGTGTACCGCGATTCGCGCGCATCACCAAATTTTCTGGTGTTTTGGCTACTTTACTCACTCATGTCTCCATTCTAAGCACATTTAAAGTTTCTTTCCCTTAGCCGACGGCGCATGTTCTCATTAGACACAACACCCACGCCGATTTACGAGAACAGAAACCGTCCGCCTCCCGTCCCTCCACCTGCACCTCTCTCCAACAACACCTGCACAACCTCATCGTGTCCCGCCGCCGAGGCACTCTGAAGCGCAGTCTGGCCCCTTCCTCTTCTCAAACTGCAGGCATTTACATCCGCTCCCGCCCCCAATAGCCTGTTGACAACTTCCACATGGCCCTTTTCCGCTGCAGCATGCAGCGCCGTTCCGTCTCCCCAGAGGCCGCCCAGCGCGTGGACGTCCGCGCCGGACTCTAGGAGCATGTCGACGATGTCGAGGTGGCCGCGTAGACATGCCCCTTGCAGAGCCGTGAACCCTTTCGTCTTTGCGGGGGCGCCGTTCACGTCGGCGCCGTGGCGGAGGAGCAGTTCGACAATTGAGGTGAAGCCGTTCCCTGCCGCAGCCTGCAACGCGGTGAACCCTGCTGTTGGCGAGGGCGGAGCGTTCACATCCGCGCCGAGCTCGAGCAGTCTGGCGACGATCTTCTCATGGCCGCGTTCTGAAGCTGCTTGCAGTGCCGTTCTCCCATTATATCTCGCCACGACAATGGAGGATTTCGGTGCTCTCTGCGTTGTCTCCTCCGCGCCGCGCCCCTGCGATGACGATGACCGCTCCTCCACTCTGGCTCCCGCACTTAGAAGAATGTCCACGATCTTTTCGTTCCCATGCCCGCATGCAATCTGCAAGGCATTGCGCTGGATGTTACTCCCGCCCATGTAGTGGACGTCCGCCCCCGCATCGACCAGCATCCGCACCGCTTCTTCGTGCCCCTGCATGCACGCCGCCTGGAGGGCCGTCTGGCCGTAATACCCCCGCGGAGCGTCATTCACAGTGAACGGGCTGATGTCGATGAGTTGCCTCATGGTCTCCAGATCCCCGCCCCGCGCGGCGAGCTGCAGCGGAGTCCAGCAGTACTCGTCGTCGTCGTCGGTCTGCAGGGTCGGGTCCCATGCCGCGTCTAGAGGGGGCAGGGTCGTTCGCGTGGCCATGATTCCTGACCGGTAATCCTCAGCTGGGGCGAGTCCGGTCGTGCCGCGATGTAACGACGAGGGACATCGCCAGTTCTTTGTTCGCGCGAACTTGGTGCTTTGTAGGTCTTACATGTGCATGCACCTAGTGGTGCGTCGTACACTATCTTGCTTACGTACCGTAATGCCTCCGCTCGCGTCGCCTAATTCCTGAAGCTTGGTGAGAAGCTTCTATCACCGGTCGGCTATCTTCACCAAAGAGCGCGGCAAAGTCTGGCGACGAATCTATTACTTGACTCGCCAGGCGCCACTAGGTGAAGGCACCATTCCTCGTTCATGCAGCCCTTACAGCCGCCCAAATGCAACCTGCTCGTCAGTTGCCTCACCTCCCCTTCTCGGCTGACCCTTCGCCGCCATTTCTGTTGTCAAGTAACAGCTCATATCCTGCGAGCCGTCCCGCGAATCCTTTGACCGTCTCCAGCATCTTTCGAAGTCTCTTCCCTCTTGTTTTCTGTTCACATACTCTCAAATTGTGCCGCGACACCCTGTGACTCTCGCAATAAGGATACGAGGGGCGCGCTTCGGCGGCTGGATTAAAATAGCGGTCGCCTTTTTGCCTGTATGGCGGCGTGCGAGCAGACATGGCAGCATACTTGTGTCACACTTCATGTTCTCTTGCCCCGGGACGGACAAAGTACTTGACAGTTCGATGTTGGGGGGCGCTCCAGGCTGCATACCGCCGAACAGGATGACGTTCCACAGCGCGCACCGTACCCGAATATGCAGTTCTTGCGCCCGCTCTTCAGCTGAGCCGTCCAGCCACTGCCAACCAAAACTCAGCTCTCGCTGCAAGCTTGCATGGCTCCTCCCGAGCCGCCTTGTCAGATGGACATCGGGTCACGTCCAGCACCCCTCATTCCGCCCAGCTTTGCTTCCATACTAGCTGTTATCCGTATTGATCCACGTTCGTCGGGGCCCTTGGCACGACTCCCACTCCTCTTTGCATTTAGATATCGACGATTGCCATAATTGATACCATCCCCATCGCGGCAGCACACTGAGGTACGTGAGAATACTCGTCGCCAGAGTCGCAAGTCCCATCCAGTACATGTACGCCGAACGGTATTGGACAGCTTCCTCTCGACGAGCCGAAATTCGAGCACGCTTCGATCCGTGAGGACTAACCCCGAGGTCTCAGATAATTCTCCTACCCGATCCTGCATGTACCCCCTAGCATTTCGCAGAAACGTGAGCTAGTCAACCGCTATCCGCAGAGCAAGATTCAATGTCGTCTCATGGCGACCATTTCGCTGGAAGAGCCGCCAGCAGGTTCCAGAGGCAGTATCGGAGCGCCAAATCCTCAGCTCGGTCATCCAAGCAACTTCCGACAGATGAACCAGCGTCCGAGTCACTGCCAGCCCAAGGCTTGGCTGCCAGGGTTGAGCCTTTGCCAACGGAAGGGCTGGCCACTCCGCCACCGCCCACCCAAGCAGCCTCCGGTCCGGAGGGCATTGTGTCCAAAACTCGGCGTAGACCGGCATGCAACGAGTGTCGGAGGAGAAAGCAAAAGGTAAGTACTACCAGTGTTAACCGGGCCTCCAATTAAGTGTTTGGTACCGATTTGGATTCTGACGATCCGTGCCTTCGCAGTGTTCCTTGACACAGCCCTGCACGAATTGTGCCCGCCGCTTCCCGCAGCCTGTCTGCACATACCCCGAGACTCGAAGCGAAGACCGCTCTCGTGTCGATACCAGCAAAGGCATCGATTCGGCACCCAAATTGCACAAGGGCCAAGTTCCAGATGCGCCCCAGGCACCCGTGGACCGTTCCGCCACCTATCGCCAGGAGGGCATGTCCAGCTGGGACGAGGCCCACTCTAGGTTTGCAGCATTCCTCGACCTCATCTTGAACGCATTTGCGTCCATTGCCTTCCATACGACTCGGAAGCTCTTGTCGAACACCGGGCTGGTCGAACCCCATGTTGCACCCAGACACCGACGCATAAGATGGAGAAATGTGAGTTCATGTCGCACACGGGCCCTTCCGCGTTAGTTCCATGCCACTGATACAATACTAGGGGCGGGGCAAGATGCTGTACGATGACTACGTGGAACATGAGCCTGGCGCATCTGACGCTCTGCAAGCGTACCTGGACTCATCGGCATACCGCTCGAGGGCGAGCTCTGACGGAGGAAACGGTCGTGTATCCGCACTCTCGCTCCCTTCTGCCAGCGGCTTCACGCAACACAGCAGCTTAAAGTCTGGCGACGTGTCCGATGAAACCCCAACGGCGTTTGCTGGCCTGACCCGAAGCAGTCGTTTCAAAGAAGACCTCGAGTCAGGTGGCCTCCATACAGACACACTGTATCTTTTGTCTTGCCAGGCGCGGAACCGTCACGCAGTCGATCTCCGTGAAGAGCGGGTTACAAACATCAAAGACGACAGACATCTGTTCCGCGCCTTGCGAGATAGTTACTATGAGCACAGGGGAAGAGTGAGACTGTACCTGTCGCTAAGGTCGCTTCATAGCATCCATTTTATGAAGGTGGGTGAGCCATCTTCTGTGCACGACCATCTTGGAGTCTTTCCCATAGCTCTAATAAGTCAAGGTTAGTTCGCGTACGGGGGTCCTCGATATATCGATGTCCGCTGTCATTACGACATTTGCGAGGCTGGGAAACCTTGTCAGTGTCTGCCTCCAGTTCATCTCATACGACCCAACGGCTCCGAATACGAATGCAGCCCGGTGCCGTCCAAGTTGTCACCACCGATTGGGCCGCGCCTATTGATGGACTTCTTTACTAACCCCGACGACATAGCGTCAGACTCAACACTGGTCCTGCGGCAACTTCCAAAGAGGACATGCGGGGACCTTGCATCAGAATGTTCGGAAGTGGTTGAGGCATGGGGGATCTATTACAAGGAAGACTGGAACTGGAGAAAAATTTGGTGGATTCTGAGCCTCGGCTTCTTCCCGCCGAGCTTGCTGTTCGGCATCCTGTGGGGCGCGTTGAACCATGATATCCAAGGAGCGTTTGGGGTTGCGAGCTGGTGGATGGCAACGGGTGCTCTGGTACTCGGACTTGTTGCAACCAGGCCAGGAGCGATGTGAGCGATTAGACAGTCCTCGTGTATGCACAGCAACTTGGCTGCGGAGGCAATACTTGAGTCTCAGCTGAGGGGTAGCTCTGTCTCAAAATGATATCATCGTGAAGAAGACAATCTTTGTGATTTGGTCGCAGGCTTCGTGGGCTTGTACTCCTCACGAGGACCGCCTACGTGATTGCAGCGCTGGCGGTATGTGAGTCGTCGTCAGAGCACTCGTAAAAGCGCGTAGTAATGACTTGCGGAGAACGAGTCGCACACGATGCATGGCTGTTATAGGCTGTTGTACGATACGACGCACCATAAAATGCCTGTTGTCTCCGTCCACTCGTAACGACCATGACGGGGTATTTGTCCTTCGATGCGGTGGCTCGGCTGCTGCATCCAGTGGGAACCCGTGTGAGGTTGTGGGACGCCCTGGCCAGAGCCAGGCCATAGCCCAGGTCGGCCCGTGACGGTCCTGACCTCAAATGCGAGAACTGCCATGATCGTCAGGGCTTCCTGGGACAGCGTCACGAAACGCAGTGCCGGCTGGTCTGACCAATATCCAATAGGTCGGGACCAACACAGCTGCCGTTGGTCGGCACGCGGCGTCTCGTCAGAATGATAAGAATCTGTATCCGAACCCCCGGTGACGACCATACCTATTTGTGACTGTGCCTGCACCACCTCGATACGCGAAAGCGCTGTCAACCAGTGACGAGGTCCCAAAAGGGAATTCGTGTATGCAGCCCGGGCTCCCCACAGGGCGTCACGGTCGCCGACTCCCGAGCCCCACAGGGGCCACCCAAAGCTCTGGAGACGCGGCTCCGGTGCTGAGCAGCTGTCAATCCATCGCAGTGCGCACCAGGCCCTACCTGGAAATGATGCGAAGCCTTACTGGTCTTGGCGCTGTTAATGGGAGACCGGGGAATCGGGTCTCGCGTGGCCGAAACGAGGTCGTCGTAAAGTCGGACACCTGCGCAGTGTAACCGCACGTCGTACTGAAACCGGGCGGCGACACAACAAGCCAGACTGCGTCGTGCATCCAGCTGATCGCCTGTTGAGTCCCGGCGTGCCCTTCTTAAAGGCCTTTGGGGCCCGGCGTTGGCGTCTTTTGCAGACGTCCATCGTCATTCTCATCATGGCCGCTTCCAATCGGGCACATCACTTCCTCGAAGGCAAGACCATCTTCGTGGCCGGGTCCGGCGTCGCAGGCGCAGCCTTCGTGGCGGGCTTGTACAAGCTCTGGAACACAGAATGGAAGGCCCCGACGATTGTCGTCTTCGACCGCGACCCTGCGGAGGAGGGGCTCCGTCGCGAGTCCGAAAATTACAGCCTCTCGGTGTCTGGACACACAGAGGCAGGCGGTCTCGTGGCTCTCAAAAAGCTGGGCCTCATCGACCAGGTCTTGAGCAGTTCCGTCTCCGGTGTTGACGGTTCTGGCTGCTTCAAGATTTGGGGCCCAGACTGGAGCGAAAAGATCAGGGCAGCACGGCCGCCGCTGCACGGACTTCCCACGGCGAGCGTGCGCATAACCCGAAAGAACCTGAGGCGCGTGCTCGGCAACGCGACCGAGGGGTGGCAGCACAGCAGCGTCGAGTGGGATTCGCAGTGTTTGAGCGTGGCGCGGCTGGACAGTGGACGACTGAGCGTCCGAATCCGACAAAAAAGGGGAGAGACGACACACACCTTTACTCGAGAATGCGACTTGCTGGTAGCCGCAGACGGAGCAAGCAGTAAACTTCGGGCTTGCCTTCGCCCGGCAGATGGGCTCAACTACACGGGTGCGACGCTGAGAGGAGGGCTCTCGGAGTTGAAAGGAGGCATTCCCGAGCCCATCCGCAAGGACTGGGGCTTCGTGGTGAGCGGCAGCGGCGTCGTGGGCTTCGTTTCCCCTGTCGACGACCACACGGTTATCTGGGCGGTGGGCACTCAAGAGCCTGGTCCTCTGCCTGAGCTCGACCGGACTTCAAAGCAGGACGTCGAGGCCGTGATATCTCGCGGCGGGCAGCTGGGGTCGCAATTTGAAGAGCCATTTCAGACGATCGTGTCGCAAACTGATCCCCAGACAGTCATGTGCATCAGCGCGCGTGACAAGCTACCGTTTCGACACGATCAAGGCGCGATCAAGGACCTGCCCGTCGTTTTCATCGGAGACAGCAACCACGCACTCAGCCCGTTTGCCGGCTTCGGTGCCAACCTCGCTCTGTCGGACGCTTGGGACCTGGCCGAGCAGCTGTGTCTCCGGGGGTCGCTGCCGGAGGCCGTGGCGGGATACGACGAGCTGAGCGAGCCGCGGGCGAGGAAGGTTGCCGAGAGTGCGAGGAGAAGCCTGCGAGCGGGACTCAGCACGGGATGGCGGTACTGGCTGTTTTCATTCATGCTGTGGATTGGCAGCTGGGTTCGATGGGGCATGGAGACCGTCAAGGGGCGGTAAAACCTGGACTGCACGCCGCCGCCGTCTGTTTGGTAGGACGATTCAGTGGAGGATCAAGTACGGTTTTGTCTTGACACAGCAATTGAGTTGACGCTGGAAGTCTCGGAACTATCCGATGCGAAAGCAGTGCCATACATTGTTGCAGCCAATTTGACGCAGAGTAATGATACCGATATGGGATGAGTAGAGAGGACCGGCAGCGAAGCCACATCGGAGTGACGGTCGGACAGTGCGTAAATACAGTGCGCATCGCGACACGGTGCGGTGGGCTGTGGAGCGCCGGCACTTTACGCGCAGCGGCAGGAGCGACTGGGATCCAGGGTGTGACGCGACTCCGTGAACGCGACGCGGGTCTCTCATCCCATCCCGTCTCCATCTTCTCCCCTCTCCCCATGTTCCTCCATCCAGCGTCGTTACATCTGCTGTCCAGCGTCTGCTGCAATTCAATTGAGCATTGGTTTACTTTGGGTGCTTCTGTTCTCATTGCCGGCGCAGCTAATTGAGCATATCTCTGTCTCTTTGCCACGCTCGGGCACGGCCATCATTCACTTACCAGATCGAACGCTGCACGTCGCCTCTCTCATCTCCCTGCGCGCTGAATCACACAGCATGGCGGGCGAAAAGGCCAGCGGCAATGCCGCTCGAACACCTGCTCGGGCTGCCTCAAAGGCTACGCCCGCGTCAAAGCAGCGGTCGATTGTCTCTTTCTTTCAAAAGTCCTCCCCGGCAACGAGCACGCCCACGGCAGCTCCCTCCGACAAGGTCTCTTCAGGTTCTCAGCCCTCGTGTCTGCAGGAGACCAAGGCCAACTCTCTTCCCAAGCCAAAGCCCTCTGCGAAGCTCGTCACTCCCGTCCCCAGCAGCGACGCCCTGGAGCCTCCGAGCTCGCAAGAGAACGAGGCGGTCGATTCCGAATCTCGACCAACCACACTCCGGTCGTCACCTACAACCATGACTTCTGGTCTACGGGCGAGCCACTTGTCTACCCCGAGGGGACTTGACGACAAGAGCCCGTCTCGAAAGGTGCGTAGCCACGTCGAGGAAGCGCACGTATTGCCTAACATGGAAACAGGTTGCCAGAAAGGTCGTCAGCTACGCCGAGTCCTCGGACGACGATGATGAGCCCTTTAGCTATGGCGCATCGCGGCCTCGACGTCGCGGTACGGCGCGACCAGTCGTCAGAGACGAGGACGAGTTTGGCGGCAGCGACGCCGAGGCTCAAGACGATGATGGTGAGCGCGCTTCAACATCCATATGATGCCGGTATCTAACAAAACAGACGACATTGCGGATTTCGTTGTGTCGGACGAGTCAGACGAAGACACCCCACGATCGAAGAAGAGAAAGAGGGCTGCAAAGCCTGCCATGGCCAGGAAACGCTCCAACGTTTCCCCTCCGGCGAAGCGAGCCGACTCTCCCATCCTCGACGATGAAATGATGGATGACCTGCCAGTCTCGTCCGCCGCTCAGTGGAGCTATAATCCGGCATCCAAAGACAAACGCCCCGTGTCTACACCTGCAGAGCGGGCCGCGCGCGACCCGAAGATCAAGGAAAAGGCACACACGAGGGAGCCCGAGGATCGCTACCCCTGGCTGGCCAACATCAAAGACAAGGAAAAGCGAGCCCCCGGGGATCCAGACTACGACCCGAGGACCATTTACATTCCACCAATGGCCTGGTCCAAGTTCTCGCCTTTCGAGAAGCAATACTGGGAGATTAAGCAGAACCTCTGGGACACGATTGTCTTTTTCAAGAAGGGCAAGTTCTACGAGCTCTATGAGAACGATGCCACCATCGGCCACCAGGAGTTCGACTTCAAGATGACCGACAGGGTCAACATGCGCATGGTGGGCGTCCCGGAGAGCTCGCTGGACCATTGGGTGAACCAGTTCATCGCCAAGCAGTACAAGGTTGCCCGCGTCGACCAGATGGAGACCAATCTGGGCAAGGAAATGCGTGAGCGCCAAGACAAGAGCAAAAAGGCGGACAAGGTCATCTCGCGCCAGCTCGCTTGCGTCCTCACAGGAGGCACCCTGGTCGATGGCGGCATGCTCCAGGACGACATGGCCGCGTACTGCGTCGCCATCAAGGAGGGCGTGGTCAACGACTGCCCTGCATTTGGCATCGTCTTCGCCGACACGGCCACCGGCCGCTTCTACGTCTCTGGGTTCGTGGACGATGTTGATCTGACCAAGTTCGAGACGTTGATTGCGCAGACGGGCCCGCGCGAACTGGTCCTGGAAAAGTCTAGGCTGTCCACCAAGGCGCTCCGCATCCTCAAAAACAGCACGAGCCCCACGACCATATGGACGCACCTCAAGCCAGGCACGGAATTCTGGGACGCGGATGTCTCGCGCCGGGAGCTGACCTGCGGCAACTACTTTGCCAAGGAGGACGGCTCCGACGAGTGGCCCGAGGTACTACAGCAGCACAAGGACGACGACCTCGTCATGTCCGCGACGGGCGCGCTCGTGTCGTATCTCAAGTTCCTCAAACTCGAGGGGCCTCTTCTCTCCCAAGGCAACTTTGAGGCATACAGCCCAATTCAGAAGAATGGCACCCTCATCCTGGATGGACAGACACTGGTGAACCTTGAACTATTCTCGAACACTGCCACGGGTGGCTCCGAAGGCACACTCTTTAGCCTACTTAACAAGTGTGTTACGCCCTTTGGCAAGCGCCTGTTTCGGCAGTGGGTTGCGCACCCCTTGTGCGACATTGTGAGGATCAACGAGCGACTGGACGCTGTCGAGATGCTCAACGCGGACCCTACCGACCGCGAGCAGTTTGCTTCTCAGCTAGTTAAGATGCCTGATCTGGAGCGACTCATATCGCGTATCCACGCGGGCGCCTGCAAGCCAGAGGATTTTGTGCGCGTCTTGGAGGGCTTTGAACAGATAGAGTACACCATGAGCCTCCTCGGCGCGTACAAGGGCGGCAACGGTCTCGTCGATCGGCTAATATCGTCCATGCCCGACCTCAACGAGCCGCTGAGCTACTGGAAGTCAGCGTTTAACCGACGCAAGGCCCGGGAGGAGAAGCTGCTCATTCCTGAACGTGGCATTGACGAAGATTTCGACGAGAGCCTGGCGAGGATGGACGAGATCAAGGGGCAGCTGCAGGAGCTGCTGGTCGAGAAAAAGGCGGAGCTCAAGTGCAAGTCGCTCAAGTACACGGATGTCGGTAAGGAAATTTACCAGATGGAGGCGCCCAAGAGCGTCAAGGTGCCGTCGTCCTGGCGGCAGATGTCGGCGACCAAGGACCTGAAGCGCTGGTACTTCCCCAAGCTGACGGGGCTCGTGCGGGAGCTACAGGAGGCGGAGGAGACGCACTCGCAGCTCGTTCGCGAGGTGGCGTCGCGGTTCTTCCAAAAGTTTGACGTCGACTACGAGACATGGCTGAGGGCCATCAAGATTGTTGCACAGCTCGACTGCCTGGTCAGTCTGGCACGCGCCTCAACGTCGCTGGGGCAGCCCAGCTGCCGGCCGACGTTTGTGGACGAGGAACGCAGCGTGCTCAAGTTTGAGGAGCTGCGACACCCGTGCATGATCAACACTGTGGATGACTTTATTCCCAACGACGTCAAGCTTGGTGGCGACGAAGCCAAGATTAACCTGCTGACCGGTGCCAACGCTGCCGGCAAGTCGACGGTCCTGCGAATGGTAAGTCTGTTTCGCGTTTCTCCTGAGCTCTGCTAACCTGCACAGTCTTGCATCGCCGTCATCATGGGTCAGATTGGCTGCTTCGTGCCCGCCGTCTCTGCGACGCTCACACCCGTGGACCGAATTATGTCACGCCTAGGCGCCAACGACAACATCTTTGCCGCGCAGTCGACTTTTTTCGTGGAGCTGTCGGAGACCAAGAAGATTTTGTCGGAGGCGACTCCCCGGTCGCTGGTGATCTTGGATGAGCTGGGACGCGGGACCAGTTCGTACGACGGTGTTGCGGTGGCGCAGGCGGTGCTGCATCACGTCGCGACACACATTGGTTGCGTGGGCTTCTTCGCGACACACTACCACTCGCTCGCGACGGAGTTTGAGAACCACCCCGAGATTCGGCCGCGGCGCATGCAGATTCACGTCGACGACGAGGCGCGGCGCGTGACGTTCCTCTACAAGCTGGAGGACGGAGTGGCCGAAGGCAGCTTCGGAATGCACTGCGCGGCCATGTGCGGCATTACGAACCGGGTGATTGAGAGGGCTGAAGTGGCGGCTCGGGACTGGGAGCACACGAGTCGGCTCAAGGAGAGCCTGGAAAAGGCCAAGACGGGGTGCTACATCCCGCTGGGCGTGCTCAGTGACGTGGGCTCGCTGCTGGGCGACAAGGGGGACATTGGGAACGGCGGCATCGACGTCTTGCTCAAGGCGATTGAGTACCTGTGATGGCTGTTGCGGCTCGGCTGGGCACAACGTGGGTTACTTGGGCGTTTTGACGGGATCGTGGACATTCTGGCTGGTGTAGAATTCTGCTGCCTTTTAATCGGGATAGAGGCATTTGAGACGAGCTACAATGGGTACATTTAGGCGTTGCAACCGCCGTCATTCTTTCAAGTGGTGAGCCACGGGGGCCCCAAGCGGGCGCACGCAATGTCCATGCCGATATCGTCGGCGGAGCTGTGGAGGAAAGAGTCGAGAGCGGCTGTCGTGGCGGAAGGCTTGCCTTACCAAAAGCTGGCAGGAGGTGTTGGGCACCCTTGGCAACCACATAGCCTTGCATGAAGACAGTTCGCCCCAACAGTGAAGTTTTCTACAAGAATGAAGTCCTTTTTTTCCCTCTACCCAAGCCCTGACCACCCCTCGTTTTGAGGCCGGGGACGAAGTGTTGCCACGAGCACGCTTGAAACTTACAGCACACAACCCCAAGAGCAGCGAAACTGGGCGGGCCACTCGACGTTTTGATGGGGGCAACAGGACGGCTGCAGAAGACCGGCACCCTTCACCGGCACCCTTCCAAGGTTCTTCGCCACAGTGCCGCGAGACTGGCAGGACATGGTCGAAGCGCATACCTTCTCGCGAATCAAGCTTACGACAGAGCGCGTTGCCAAATTCGGGTCGATGACTCGGCGGGACCGGGCCAATATCCGCTGCATATGGGTCAGCTTAGAAATTCGGGAGTACGACTGCATCCTGTGCCTGAGAGACAGATAGCAGGTGGGGAGTGTACCAGGCCATGGGCGACGCGCAACAGAGCCCTCTTCGCTTCGACATCATGCCCACGATCTGTCTGCGGCCCTCAGCGAGTGGGAGCCGAAGGGCAACCTGGTGCTCGACTACGGTGCACGTCCACTCGCCCAGTCGCAGCGTGCTGCTCAACCAACATCGTTTGGGGGGGAGGCCGCATGGCGTCTGGCGGAGATGCCTGGTGTCTGGCAGTCGACATGTCAAGGAGGAAGAAAAGGGGAGATGTAAACGGGAGTGTCATGGCGCTTCTCAAGTCGGAAATGTAGCCCCCGTGTCTGTACCGGGTGACTCTACGTCGGCGTCCATAAGTGGAATCAGGCATGGCCAGGGAGAAGACATGGCAGACCGGCATGGAACATTGTAGTAACAGAGGAAGAAAGATGCAGCGTCGCAGTATCACAGATTTCAAACAGAGTCCATACAATATTTATTATTATACTCAAACAACTCTCCGGCCCACCTGGCCCCCCC